ACCCCAAAGACAAAATACAGACGCAGACCTTTCCACCCCATCCTCTTTGGAAAAAAAAATATCGCCGACTTCATCCAGATCTTCTTCACCCTTGCATCTGTCTCGCCTGCCCGTCTGCCTTCTTTTTCTGCCCGTCTTCGCAACCAGACGAGAGCGCACCCACCAGTGCGCAAAGTTCTTGACCCGCGATCCAGACTCGTCACTCAACCATGAACATCCGACACCCGCCCTCCCCATCCTGTCACAACTCCTAACCCACCTACCTAGTTCCCACCAAAACACTGCGCCACCAACCTCCAGGACAGTCCACTTTCCCTGTGCAATACCTAGGCAATGGCAACTTTCCCACTCCCGCCAATCCCTCCATGCGTCCTGCCATCTCAGTCTTTTTCTTCCCTTGTGAAAGCAGATGGGAGCCATGGCGCAAATAGCGCCGTCGCCGCCCTCCCCCTACGCGGGGATTCCACCCAGCATAGCGTCGATACGAGGCCTTGCATGTCTCAAGACCCCATATCGAGAGTTCATCCTCCACACTCAGCCTAACTGCCCAAACATACGCGCGCACCCTGAGCCCATACAAGGACCAATCTGCCATCCAGCCTCGCATCGTAGTACCGTACAATCGTGTTCTGTATATAGATGCCCTGCCGCTTCATTCCCCTCCCCCACCCGTCTTACAATCCCCATTGCTGACAAAAAAAAAGCGTGTTTTTCTTTCCAACGAATACCCTTACGGTACGTGTTCCGCATCCTTTGCTTTTCAATCTCTACAATGACATCTTCCATCACCAGCACTCGTCACGAGGTTGGAACAACTCCAGTCGAGACCCGTACGAAAAGCACGTGAGACCTGTGAACCACCAATCGTGTCATGTCATCATCAATCTATTGCTCTTTTGTCCATACTACTACTACTACTGCTACTATGTACCTACTTTCAAGACCGCAAACACGGCCCTCATATCGTAACCCGGTAAACAAAAAAAACAAAAAAAATCACGCCTGATCCAACCACGCCGACCCAGCGCCCTCGCAATGCTTTCAAACTAGGCGGCCCTCTGCCACAACTATCAATCCCTCCCTCTGTCCCCGATGAACCCAAGCGCCGCCGCAAAAATGCAAGACATGGCCGCGCAGAAACAAAAATTGCTCATGAGAGCCTGGCTTAATTCACGTCCATGCCCTCATCCTCCACCTCCTCCTCTCCATCTTCCTCACCCCCAGTCAGCACCCCAGCACTGCCCAGACTACGCTTACGCGTGCTGGCAACACCAAACGTGCGACCCGTCACCTGACCTAGAAGATCCAGCTCCTCACCCCCAACCACTCGCGACTCTGGACTGGCTTCACAGCAGAGCTCAATCACGCTCGCTGGACTCAGATTGCGGAACCCTGCTGTGCGCACTACGCGACCAAAGTTTTGCATGCAAAAGGCTGCAGCTCGCTGTTTGAGCCAGTCCTCTCCCGCCGTCGCAGCACGCTCCCAGATAACAGCAGCATGCTCAACATCAAGCTCTCGACCCAGTCGGTTGACACAGAGGAGACGCAGACGAGGCATGTCGTATATGTTCGACATGACGAGCATACCCGCAACATCACTCAGAGACGGACCGCTCTGCGGGTTGGGTGCAATGCTGTCCGTATAGAGATAGAACAAGAAAGCACGAACAGCCGAATAAGGTTCGGGAATGTGCATCTTCTTGGAATGGAACTCCGCCATCTGAGCACTCCAGAGCCGAGCAAAATGCGGCCAGCGAGCGTGGAGAATCAGCTTATGAACGTGAATGGGTCGTGATACAGGCGTAGTCGACAATGACGGGGAACCGGTCGTTGGCGAGACGTCAACATAGTCTTCGTCATCTGCATCTGCCGTAATGATGAAGTCGGCACCGTTGCCACTCTCCGGTGGTTGATCAAACGTCAGGGATAAATCTGCGCCGATACCACTGAGGTGAGAGGAAACATTGGCGTCAGATGACGGCATCATCTTAGATCGCGAATCCGAGGCCAGCTCGTTTCCTAAGATGCCGTACTTGCGAAGATCGATGGCAAGCACATCACTCAGATACTCGCCATTGTGATTCCCCTCCCCTGTCGATTCAACAGGGCTTCCGAGCAGCCAAGCATGTGTTCCTTCCGGATTGGTCGTGCAGTAATGCCAGCGATAATTAGGACTGTACAAATCCTTGCCCTCTGCCAACTTCTGCCATCGGAGGGTATCCAGCTCCAGACTGGACAAGCTCGTCTCGCAACTTAGCTCAGCTGGTGTGACAAAGTCCAGCAGGCATCCGGAGGAAAAAATGTGAAAGTGAGTTCCAGCCGCTTGCGATGGTAGATTCGGGCTGGAATGGAACTTGAGCGACGAGATGGATCCAGGTGCAACATATGGAGACCTACTAGCACTCATGCCATGGTAAGACTGGACACTTGAGTTGGCTGTATAGCCGGTACTGCCTGTAGCCACTTGGCCGGATGCAGGGACGGCAAACCTATGACGAGAGGAGGTCAGTTGCCGGTCACCGGTTCCAAATTTCATGGCATGATCGAACTCCGGGCTGCCACGTAGATCCAACCACCAGATCTCGTTACTCTTCTCCATATCATCATTGATGCCTCCAAAGATCCAGATACGGCCATTCCAGATCCAGCTTGCGTGATCATATCTAGGCACGAATCTCCAGGTGCGCGACCAGGTCCAAGTCTTGAGATCAAGGTAGCATATATCATCTAGTACACTGTCGTGGCCTGTCTGTCCGCCGCTAATATACAATTTGTCATCGTATATCACAGCCGAATGCCGAGCGCGTCCGCGCGGTATGGGCCCGTGAAGTTCTGGCTGTGTCCAGTGCGCCGTCTTGAGGTCGAATACTATTACGTCGGCAAGATGCTGGCGGTGCTCATTCTCTCCACCAAACACGAGTAGCTTGTTGCCCTGCCACAGACATGCCGTGTGGCCTTTGACGGGGATATTAGCATGTATGAGAAGAACAAAGGCATTGCATGATTGCACATACCCATGCGGACCCCAGGGATGTCGCCATAGTTGTCTACCAGGTTCCACTGTCGGGTTAGAAGATTCAGCCGAAGAACGTGGTTGTACACTGTGGACGTGGTTAGCACGTGTCTTGATTAGATATATCGCTGGCATGTCGCATTCCAGGCCTTGGACAACCTTGCATCCACTAGTGATCGGGACAAGACTCCATGTCGGCGTTTCTGCTCCACGTTCATCGGATGCGAGCAGCAGTGTAGCACAACGACCAGCCCTCCTACTTACCTTCGTCGGTGTATTGATCAAACCCTCCAAAAGCATATATTTGATCGTCGCCAACGTATGTGACGGAGGCGTTGACGAGGCAGGCAGGCTTGGCGCCGATGGTGGATATCATCCTGGGCTTGTAGCCCTCGACGGCGGACCTGCGACTGCGCACCGGGCTTGCGGACATGAGGAAGGTGTTGCTATTCGATCCGGTGCTTGCAGGCGTTGTAGTCGGCGCTGGCGAGGGTGTCGAGGTGAGGGCGGGGGGAAAGGCGGTTGGGGGAGCGAGGGCGGGTCGTGCAGTCGGATGTGCCATTGACCTAGCGAGCGAAAGTGACTGTGGGGAGCGGTTATGGTCAGGGCCCTGTAGGGCAAAGAGATGCCTCTGTTCAGCCGTCGTGAATGCGTTGAAGCTTGACATGTAGGGTAACTTGCACAGTGACAGTGGGCGGTGAGCGGTGGCAGGAAAGAACGCTGGATGGGGAAACGCCGACTCCCCCAGCCACGGCAAGAGCGCTGCGGTGCCACTTGCCACGGCAGACTGCCGGAAGGAAGTCTTGTCACTCAGCGCTGGCCTGTGCAGCAACGAGCATTGCACCAAAGCGACAAAATAGGCTGGCCTTGCCCACTCATCGCGCACGATGCATGCATTGCATGGAACAGAGAAAGAGAAAGAGGAAGAGAAGAGGGGGAGGGCCAACGCATCGTCTCTCCCTGCACACCGCATCCGGCACTCATTTCCGCCAGCCTTTAGCCTCACCAGCCTGAAGGGGGAGAGGAGGGGGGATGGCCAGTCATGTGATGTCATCGTGCGCATGACCGGGCGTTGCGTTGTGGTCGAGCCCGCTGCAGGGGCCCTTCATTGTCGCCCCGTCAACGACAGACCGTAAACAAACCATATTTAACCACTTCACGCCTGCCAACCCAAAGCCCTCTCATCACACACATACACCTCCACATACACCTCCACACAATCCTGCATCTCCATCTCACGAGCGCGCAAATTCAATTACTTCGAATCCATACTTCAAAGCATCGATTACAGCATTGTCTAGTACTACTAATCTTTACACATTCAGCATCAAATCAGCAACACATCCATATTGTAGGACAGCCGCATACAAATTGCATACGCTCCCACACAAGACTAACACTACACTAGTACCACACCCTAGTTAGGCAGTCAGTCATGGCCACCCCAGCTGTGTTGACTCCGGTCAAGAGCCGCTCCTCAGTCTTCTCTTCCCGCACCGCCGGCGGTCGGATGCCATTGACGCCTTCTCCCCGCACCCCACGAGCTCAGACTCCTGATGTGCAGGCACACGAGTCGATTCATGGCGGCAACTTCATGTCCCGCATCCAGCGTTCAGTGTCCAAGACGACACGTGATTCACCAAAGTCAAACATCGCCCGCAACTACACACCACGTCGCCTTGAGCTCGGTGTATCGGAATGGTCGCTGACAGGATCGGGATCTACCACCGCATCAAAAACGCCAGTCAAGGCGAAGAAAGAGAAGAAAGAGAAGAAAGATAAGAAAGACACCACTGTTCGTAGCCGCCCCACCAAGACTCGCATTGCATACAACGCTGCCGACCGCTTCATTCCCAACCGGACTGCAAGCGAGGCAATCTGCAATGTCGGTACAGGCAAGATCGATCTCGAGCAGCGCCCCAAGTCATCCAAGAGCGAGGGTTCGAAAGTTCTGGCCACCGCTGCCAGCGCTTTTGATCTTGGCGGCCGTGGATCAGAGGAGGATGTCACACTTTCACTCGAGGGTCTCAGCCTGGAGGATGAAGAGGAGGAGAGCCGTCCCCGTTCAAAGCCCGCGCCTGGCGCAGCAGCATACCAGTCCACTCTTGCTTCAGCATGTGGCATCAACACAAACACCCGCATCCTTGCGTTCAAGCCTGCGCCTCCAGAGTCGTCCAAGCCTATCGACCTCCGCTCCCAGTACAACCGTCCTCTCAAGCCTGCAAGCAGCGTCAACGCTCAGTCTCGCCGTCGCATTCCTTCTGCCCCTGAACGCGTCCTGGATGCTCCTGGTCTTGTCGATGACTACTATCTCAACCTCCTTGACTGGTCTTCTGGCAACCAAGTCGCCATCGGTCTTGAGCGTTCCGTCTATGTATGGTCTGCTGACAGCGGCTCTGTCTCTTCTCTCCTTGAATGCCCTGCAGATACCTACATTTCCTCTGTGAAGTGGTCTGGTGATGGCGCCTACGTTGGTGTTGGTCTTGGCACGGGCGAGGTCCAGATCTGGGATGTGGAGGAGCAGACCAAGCTCCGCAGCATGTTCGGTCACGAGACCCGTGTCGGTGTCATGGGCTGGAACAAGCACATCCTCTCGACCGGTGCACGCTCTGGTCTCGTTTACAACCACGATGTCCGCGTCGCTCAACACAAGATTGCCGAGCTCGTTTCGCACACTGGTGAGGTCTGTGGTCTTGAGTGGCGCGCCGATGGTGCCCAACTCGCGACCGGTGCCAATGACAACATGGTCAACATCTGGGATGCTCGCGCCCTTGCTGCTCCCAAGTTCACCAAGACCAACCACCGCGCCGCTGTCAAGGCTGTCTCATGGTGCCCTTGGCAATCAAACCTCCTTGCGACTGGCGGTGGTTCCAATGATCGTCAAATCTACTTCTGGAACACCACCACTGGTGCCCGCATCAACCACATCCCCACCGACTCCCAGGTCACCAGCCTGCGATGGAGCACACACTACAAGGAAATTGTCAGCACTGGCGGTTTCCCAGACAACAGCTTGAGCATTTGGAGCTACCCAACTGGCGTCAAGAACATGGAGATCCCCGCACACGAGTCTCGTGTTCTTCACAGCTGCCTCAGCCCCGATGGCCAGATGCTCGCTACCGCCGCTGCTGATGAGTCACTCAAGTTCTGGAAGGTCTTTGAGAAGAAGGCGGGCCAGCCATCTATTGCCGCTGCTGGGTCTGCTTCTATGAAGACCAGCGCCGTCAAACAGATGACCATCCGCTGAGTCTGGTCGCACGTGCGACGCATACGGTCAGTGTCTAGCAGTTAGCTGACACTCGGCCAACAAGGTCTCGCACAGTCGAGACTATCTGACATGCCGGTTTGCGCAATGGAGCCGCCATCATCAACCCGACTCTACGCGCAACGGTAAGTTGGTAAGTATCACATCTCATTTGGGCATGTGACGCGATCCCCTTCATCTTTGTGGGGATCTCCACATTCAACCGCCCTCGGAATTATCTGTCAATTATGGCTGGGTTCATACATGGAAGCGCTCCTATTCAGCACGGCGTCTCGGAAAGCATTACTATGGTATTTGTCAATCATTTCCACTTTCGGGAGCACACTTGAGCAGCACGAAAATTTCATGACGACAAGAATGAACGAAAAAGACGACTCAGTCTGTGTTTCGAGGTGTTTTTTTGGGCCTTTTGGCTTTTCTGGGAGGTGTAAGAATAGGGATATATCTGGCCTGGACGTGATGGGAGGCTTTGATATAAGCGTCATAATTGATTTAGTCAATGAAAACCCTTTGAATACAACAGAATAATGTCATATGCCCCGAAGGAATGCATTGGATCACCAATTCACAACTGTGGGACATGGTTGACTGTCATGTGAGAATACATGTAACGAGTCAGACGTAATGAAATTCATCTCTATGCCCTGAGAGCACCACAGACATTTGGGCTAATTTTGACACTAACGTGTTGCGTACGCCATCTGCTATACTGTGTTATATATGTGTGTCCTGCCTTGAGATTCCGGTTCTAGGTAACTGCGGCGAGGCTGAGCTGTGTATGAAGGAGTGCGGTAGAATCAGAAAGAAAATGAGATGGGCAATATCAAGGGTACTATAGCGAGCAGTGATCAAGACTATAATGGAGAAGTAGTGGTGCATATATCACTATTACAAAATAATGGACTCTCCATTTCAATCCCAATAAGCACCCGCAAAAATCCTACCCATACCTAACTTTGCGTCCACCTTTCCCCTCCTCCATCCGATAACTCACCGCAATGCCCTTCCGCTCCGCATACGCAATTGCCTCTCTCCCATTAATCCTTCGGCACCCATCCGCATGGATAGATCGCAGCGTGGGCAGGCCATCTGCCAACATCTTGATGCTTGCACCGCTGATATTCGTGTGCGAGAGATTGATCGTCTCAAGGCCCGTGTCGTGTGTGAGCAGACCCGCAATTTCGTCGTCGTCGCACGGCATGGTGGATATATCGAGTGATTGTAGCGACTTGGTGAGGATGCGGCGAGATTGCGTAAAGAGGCTTTGGCGGGTTTTGAAGAGCCCGTGGTGGGCGTGGCTTGGGTCGAGGAGGCCACGGAGAGTCAGGGATTGTAGGGGTATGGCGTTGGGGAGTTGGTGGATAGTGTACGAGGCGTCGGCGTATAGGTCGAGCAGGCTCTCTAGTGTTTCACCTGAGAGGGCTTGGAGTTCAGTTATTGTGAGGTGGGAGAGTGCGGGTAGTCTGCATGCGAGTAGCTCCAGGGTTGGAAATTGCCGGAGGAGTGCGAGATTGATCACTAGGCGCTGCACGGTGGGAGGTATCGAGGGGAAGTGAACGAGCATAACCTGGTTCAGGACAAGGCTTTTTAGTGGTAAGTCTAGGGGTGTGGGGTCTCCGCCGATCAATGCGTGCAATACATGCGTCAAGGATAGCGATTCGAGTGCTGGCGTTTGCTGGGGATATGGTAGGCTTGCATGTTCCCCAAATGAAATGAAGTGCATACTGAAGCTTCGCAGATTGCTATATATGCCTACCCAGTCGGGCCAGTTCCCACCCAATCTAGTTGGCAAGTGTACTTTGTTGAAGGCGACGTGATGAAGCTCTGGACGATACTGTAGGATCTGCTGCGCCGTGTCCACTTTGATCTCTGGATGAATAATGTATTTCCTCAAGGATGTGGAACACTTGGCGATGTCGACAAACGTCGTCGCCATGTTATAAGGTAAAGTGATAATCTCGAGCTCGGTGAGGCTCTTACAAACTTTTGCTAGTCTCGTGAGCATATCGGTATGCTCGAATCGGTGTATTGTGAGACGGGTCAAACGTGAGTCAGAGCGTTTTACAGCTGCTGCAACGAAGGAACGAGGTACAGGTCTGCGAGCGCCGGAGAGGTCGAGGTGCATCCAAAGTTTAGACATATGTGAAAGGTAGTCCCTCCAACCACGGCTGACGCGCATACAGTTGACCATCTGGCGGAACGAGAGGTATTCTAATATCATTTCGGCCAATTCAATAGGAATAACCGTTAATGGGTCCCTAGCTGTGGCTGGCGAGAGCTTGCGAGTGAGTCTGTCGTGCAATTGTTGAAGGACCTTAGTCACATGTCAGCTTGGCCCCCTACAAAATTTATAGAAAATCATACTTTGAAGTTTTGGTCATCCGTGGGAACGTTCTTCATTCCATACTTATAAATTCCAAGCGCGGTCTCTGGCTTCTCCATCTTTTCCAGGGCGCTTGCCGTGCGCAAGTAGCCTGTTACTGCCTTCTTATTCATCATAATCATTGCTCTGCCATCCTTGACCGCAGCACTAAACTCATTGAGTTTATCGTAAGTCGCCGCACGATGGTCATACAGACCAAGCGTGGGTGAAGTGTTGATGCCTTGCGACAGGACCTCAATCGCCTTCTCATATTGTTTCAGCCTGTAGTATCTGCGACCAAGCTCCTGGTACTCTTCTGGCGAGGTATTCTTCTCCGCCATGAGGGAAAGCCTGAAATTCGGTAGATTGATGTAGAGATTGAATGATAGCCAGACTGTGAACTTGTATAGTCTGGTTGCGTGATGCGCGTGGAGGATGCGTGGAGTCCCGATTGAGAAAAGCGTAGCACGCGCCAAGGCGCGTCATTCGTTGTGCAGGGTGACGACATGCCTCCTTTGAACAATCAACATGTTGAGCATACTTACTATCATCTAATAAACGCCACAAGCTTTTGTTTAAGAAACAATCGTATGATATCGCAATCGAATATTTCACGGCCCGGCTCACACTGTAAGAAGCAGCTGCAGGCGCTGATACCATATACTATTGTAACATTCACCTCATCAAAACCACCCATAGTCGGAGATCCGAGATTCAACCAATTCTGATGGAGACAACACAACTGGCTGATGTGGTCCACTAAATCATGGAGAGCACTTGATAGGTAAAGCTGAATCGGAGCATGGGCCCATATATCGCATTGCTCATCATGACTGTGTACTACCAAACTGGAAACCTGGATAGGAAAAGGCCCACATTCTTCAATACTGCCTTAATGCTCTACGTCTATAGATTTTTGCCTCTCGTTCACATTATCCAGTCTCTAGGTCTCGCGTAGACTGTCCTTTCCTCCCTTCGAATACTGTTCAAGCCATCCATCCAGCAATTTACACAATACTCTCTTTTCTTAGGTGGGTGCTTTCTCTGGTGCATTGGTGCCGGAATTTTGTGTATAGTCTTATAAGCACGACTCGAAGTATGCGCGAAGGTTGATATGTCGATTACTCAATGCCTTTTCGAGTTCCAGATTGCTTACATCTACGCTTCCTTGTCGTGCTTTAAAGGGTCTTCGACATATTAGAATGTGTTCGTCATCTCGTTTAATATATATATATGGGCTCTTAAATTCCTTTGGTTCACCCGTAATATAGAAAAAATTCTTAAATCGTTCTATGCGCTCAGTTGTACTGGCGAAGGTAAATTAGGTTGAGAGAAGGTACACCATGCCCTTTGAAAAGTAGTTATTGGTGATCAGCCACACACAAGTGTGATGTTGCGAATATCATGTCGGTCGAATGATCTATTCTTGGGTCGATATATCTTCCATAGAGAAACCTTGAACGGTCTTTCTCTCCCACTCTGCCAATACCTGGACAACCCACGACATTATCGATGAATCCGCGATCTGGTATATACATATCAGACCCACAGGCTGCAAGATGCAAGCCAAACTAGCCCCAAGATAAGTTTCGCCCCGAAATAAGGAAAAGGATTCCATCCTGTCATGATCTAACATTGTGGCACCCAATGAGACGAAAGCAGGATGCGCGATGCATTTCCTACCGCCAATCAATACATTGATAAAACGCCCATATCAGAATCATGTCTTCCTATGGATTAGAGAGCCGGCCTTACACGCAAAATACCTCATACAAGATGATCTATGGATCATGCTGTCTATCAGCCTTGCGTAGTTTCCGACCCACTGATCAACACAACTCTCCTGCACCTTTATAAAACCATGAGCTCCATATGGACGGCATTCCTGCCTCTCACGACCATTTTCACCGCTCCAGCGGAATGTTGGAATTCTGAGCCATGGATTATCCAAAATGTGGCCACAACCTGGTGGAAGCAGGGTAGTGACCTTGTTGCGAGCTGCTTTCCGCCAGCCTTCCCTTTCTCCCTTTCTAGCATCATTTACTCGCCGGGTCTCTGTCCAGAGGGATGGACAAGTGCTTGCGACCGACAGATAATGTCGAGTGGACAAGAACTGAAAGTTGTGTTGTGCTGTCCTGCGTATGTATTCATTGGCGTCTCGTGTTCATGGAGGTCATACAAAGGGTAACTGACGAAGGGAGTTTAGATCTTACGGGTGTGCAGCTACTAGTAGCGCAGTGCACGATTGGGAGGATCAATTCGGTTGCGCAGCTCCGTATTCTGTCGACAAAGTGGGCTAGAAGATAAGCTCAGCGAACATGACCTCCCTCGGCGTATGGGCTTGCCAGCGGCGCGAGCTGAGGCCCAATCTGTAACGACACACTCTGCAGTGTGATATCCGTACTATACTAACTTAATATTAGACTTCCATCAGCTCATCGTCCGACTTGCCTTCTCGAACAGGGCTACCAGAACCTGCATCTACTGCCAGCTTCGCAGCATCTTCGACTTCCGCATTCTTACCAGTAGATACTACACCATCAAATCCCTCTGGCACTACCAGCGATGGGCTCTCGAAAGGCAGCATTGCAGGAATCGCTGTAGGCTCTGTGATAGGCATAGCACTCATTAGCCTCCTCAGATATATTGCACGGGCTCTCCACCGATGTCATCGCGGTAGTGGTAATGCCAGTCTACGGCCTGTGGTGCAGGATGCGGAACAGCATGGCAAGGTTCAATCTGAAGCGACACACTATCAAGATGCCACGCCTACAGAAATGGGCGCTGTGGAGGAAAGAGCCATATCTGAGCTGACTGGACGTTAGGCAACTGTGTGCGCGTTGGAAGTGACAAAGAGCCAAGATAGGTAGATTTTAATGATCTGTGAATAATCGGTAATCAATACTATCACGAATAACGTGAATTTGAGAGTTTTGGCGAAGTCAGTCAGCGATAATGCATTGATCAATATTAGCTCGGTGGCAGTGTGTTGGCCTAGACAATATTGAAGACAACACTAAACAGGGACAGGTACATCTATCACTGATGATGAAAATGGCGTTCAAAGATAATGCTAGGGCCTAAAGCTGCAAGTATTGCTCTGTCAACATGATGGCATAACTTTCTATGAGTGCAAATCCCCCCCACCGATATCATTTATTTTACACAGATTCAACTCTACCTACGCGTGCCATAGCCTCGCCACAGCCTCGGTGATTCCAACGTCATTTGTCTCAAAAGAGTACAGGGCAACACCCAGAGTGAGAGTTCCGAGACGCAGCGCCCAGTTCGCAGCAGCGCGAATCTTGGGGATACGAGCCTTCGGGAAGTAATCGATGATACACGCCCTGTATATAATTAGTCACGTATTCCAATTTGAAGATCCACTAGTATCATGGATCCAATCTAGGCGGGTTAAACGTACTCAAAGCCAATGTGCGAGTGAATGACCAAGAGTGCGCAGAGAATTGAATCGGTGACGGGATTGAGTGATCCAGCGGCGAAGGGCGCGATGGTCAAGGGAATCAGACCGGCAGAGACGATTCTATGAGGGGTTAATTAGATGCTCTTTTGAATGATGACTACAAGCGTCCTCAACCCTCCTCCTCTATCAATTCGGCTAATCAATTCGGCTACATACCTTTCAAATGTCCAGTGATAGCTGCCGTGCGTGTAATCTGGGTTGGGTACAGGCACTGGGTCGTTCGTAGTTCCCTCGATCTTCTGTGGTAGAGGGGGGAGAATCTGGTTGCGCTGTGTAGCGTGGAAGGCGGCGATGCGTGTCGACTTGGGGACTGCTGCGCGCTGGAGGGTGGGCCGAAGCTGTTGGGTGATGGATCGGGTAGTAGAGGTGGTGACGGTGGACAGCATGCGGGGAGCAACGGCGGACTGGGCAAAGACCTGCCTGGCGAGAGTGGGACGCATGATTGAGGCCATTGCAGCGGGCGTTGGACAGGCGGTGCAGGGGCGGATGGAGGGTTAGTAAATGGACAGGACGTCGCAAATGTCGCCTGCCCGGGATATCGAACGAATGTTGACGACAATGCCTCGGGTCTGAGGTGCTGACCTTCCTCGCGTCTTGATTGGCCAGCGGTCAGGCCGGGAAATCCCGTGACCGCAGTTTTCAACCTCATCGATTCTCAGTCGGGGCTAAGCAACAGCAGCGCTCGACGTATCTCAAACCCAACCCCCCCCCCCCACCCCACCCATCACCGCCCCATTTCCTATCCTCCCCGGCACGCCAACCAGACACAATGGCCTCCCGGCGGCTCGCTCTCAACCTGCAGCAGGGCATGCGCTCCCGCGCCGCCATCAACGCCGTCAAGTCGTCCCGCTCCTCGCCTTTGACCCGCGGCCTTGCGACCCCCGTCAGCTACGGCTCCAAGACCGAGTCGACAACGCTGAAAAATGGTTTCACGGTATGCTGGAACACGAAGCGGCCCTGAGGACTGCAATTGACCCGTTCACGCAGATCGCTACCGAGCACTCCCCGTGGGCCCAGACATCGACTGTTGGTGTGTGGATTGATGCGGGAAGCCGCGCAGAGACCGACAAGACCAATGGAACTGCACACTTCTTGGAGCACCTTGCTTTCAAGGTACGGACACAATGATGACGATGATGACGATGTGCGCAGCCGGAACAGGGCTGATGAACGGAACAGGGTACCCAGAAGCGCACACAGCAACAATTGGAGCTCGAGATAGAAAACATGGGTGGCCACTTGAACGCCTACACCTCGGTATGTGCTGGCAGTTTTGAAGGGAAAATTCCTATATGTGGGATGTGTGATTGATGAGATGACAGCGCGAGAACACCGTCTACTACGCCAAGGCCTTCAACAACGACGTCCCCGCTGCCGTTGACATCCTCTCCGATATTCTCCAAAACTCCAAGCTCGAGCCCCAAGCCATCGAACGCGAGCGTGATGTCATTCTGCGAGAGCAGGAGGAGGTTGACAAGCAGCTCGAAGAAGTCGTGTTCGATCATCTTCACGCTACCGCTTTCCAGGGCCAGCCGCTTGGACGCACCATCCTTGGACCCAAGGAGAACATTCAGAGCATTCAGCGCTCCGACCTTGAGAACTACATCAAGACCAACTACACTGCCGATCGCATGGTTCTCGTTGGTGCAGGTGGCATTCCCCACGAGCAGCTTGTCGACCTCGCTGAGAAGTACTTCGCCAACCTGCCCAGTGAGCCCCAGGACTACTCCCACCAGTCCATTGCTGCTGAGCAGAAGCAGAAGCCCGACTTCATCGGCTCAGAGGTCCGCCTCCGTGACGACACCATGGGAACCGCCAACATTGCCATCGCCGTAGAGGGTGTCAGCTGGAGCGACCCAGACTACTTCACTGCATTGGTTACACAGGCAATCGTTGGTAACTGGGATCGTGCTATGGGTACCTCGGACTACCTCGGCAGCAAGCTCAGCAACTTTGTCTCGCAAAACGGTCTGGCCAACAGCTTCATGAGCTTCTCCACCAGCTACTCCGACACTGGGTATGTCCCTCTTTCATTGGGGTCAGGTTCATGATGGATTGCTAACAAATTTAGTCTCTGGGGAATCTACCTTACAACCCAAAACTTCACCCAAATTGATGACCTCGTCCACTTCACCCTCCGTGAGTGGTCCCGCCTATCGATGAATGTCACCTCCGCCGAGGTCGAGCGCGCCAAGGCCCAACTCAAGGCTTCCATCCTGCTCGCTCTGGACGGTACCACCGCTGTCGCCGAGGACATTGGTCGCCAAATTGTCACCACTGGCCGCAGGTTATCACCCGAAGAGGTTGAGCGTGTCGTTGGCGCCATCACAGAGAAGGACGTCATGAACTTTGCCAAGACCAAGCTCTGGGACAGGGACATTGCCGTCTCAGCTGTTGGACAAATTGAGGGTCTGTTGGACTACAACCGCATCAGGAATGACATGAGCAGAATGCTCTCATAGAGAGTGAGAGCAGCAGTAACTGTGAAAGAAAGATTTTTGTGTGCAAAGCTGTGAGCGTTGACGGCACATTGTATTTTGTGTACACTTAGTTGAGAATCTGATATAAGGAAGAAATAACTAGTTCAAATCCTTTGGCTCCATTGAGTGAGCGAATAAGAGGTGCATATATGTGAGGCGCGTCATGTTGAAATCACATGAACCCAAGGCGGCGTGACGTCTACCGTATGTCTGTCTAATCAGTTGTACCTTGCGATTCTGACAATACTGCCAGTGCCATCGCTCGAACATCGTAGCTCCGCACATCAATTACAATAATCATTCCAACTTCCACGTACTACCATGAGAAGGTAAAAATTAGGATAGCGGCCTAACTCGGCGTCTACCAAGGCACTAAATCCGTCTTGTCTTGTTAATATACGAGCTTGAGTGGTGTCAGGACGCGGGTCTACGTCTACTCCCGCCGCGCCAAGCAACCAACAAAAGAAAAGTCCGTATAATCTGTGGATACCAGAGTATCGTAAGTTGAGATTGCACATGTAATCACGTTACCTGCACGCCTTACAATGAAACTAACAAAAATCAGCTTCTGATTTGTGCAGTACCAATAGTGACTGTCCGGTGTCGTTCTGCTAGCATGACGAAATATCGATACCGTTACACGAAAGATGGCATCAAGAAGCGTGGGAACAGTTTGCTTGATTTAGATTACATGCTAAGCATACTGTATGTATGAGATGAATACAGGTCGTGAGGTTTGAAGTATCTGCAACGGTTGACTTGAGCTGCATCCATGGTATTGCTGTACATCGAGAGGGCTCAACTTTTCCGTCATCAGGGCTTTTGTATAGCGCACTCTCCACCTGGAACTTTCACTCCAGCTCTCACAGGATCCTTACAGCAGCTAATCCAAGTATCGTCTGAGAGAATGACAGACGACGGTCCCTTATACAAACCGCACCAATCACTGCCGGGCTGGCGATTTCTGCCGTTTGAAAAAATTACAGCAATTGGTTGATGCAATTCTTCTGTCTAAATCATTAGGGCTCTTGCACCGGCATTTCACTTTAACTCTTGGTTCTCGCAGTCCCTGTCTAAATGTTAGGATACACACCTCTAAACTTGAGATATGCGAAGAGACTTACATAGGCACAAGTGGCTAGAAGTACAATGCAAGCAGGGATGGTTATCCGCATGGTTGTTAGGGTGGAAGAAGATGCTCAAAGATGGGTATTGATGCAGATACTCGAAAAAATCTGATGGTGAAAGCATGTTTATATAGCCAAATAACAAGGGAGAAATCTTATTAAAATAGATTTAGCGTGCTATTAGAGATATATAAACAGGCCTTTTTAGTTACAGCGCTCGAATAAGTTGTATACGGTACGGTAGGCCTTTTGCCTGTTAGGTTGCATCCTTACTATATAGCGTCTGTATTACAGCCGGGCCGTGGATGTCTTGCATGTTCGAATGTATAGCCCGCATGGGCTGACCCCCACAAGTCTTATTTGCATCTCACAGTCTGTATATGTAGCCTGCCAATGTATTGTAGGAATTGATGTAAACGATGAGTATGGATGAAATCAATAACAAAAAGGGTAACTTTTGGTTCAATTAGGCAAAACATAGATGACTTAGCGTACTTTGAAATAGTAAATTAGCCAAGTGATCGTTATGATTCGTACCTATCCTATTCAGGGATTGATATTCGGCCCCAGAATCCTGCAGATACAGGTGCCCAGGGCGGCCCTGTTGAGAAGGCGCAATGACCTGTAGCAATGGTCTAGGTACAATACAAGACACCCCCATGAACAGGCTAGCGTCTGAGGGGAAATGCTAATTGTACCCTCGTAAGGGCGAGGACAATTAGCAACTCTCGCGTCTAAGGGTGGCACTGAATACCTTTTGGTCTTTTACAAGACTAGAAAATTATACGCTAGCAGTCCGTTCTTAGGGGTGCCTTGTACATACATAGATCGCTGAACCTTGAACCTGAAAAGGTCATATCGGAGCATAATCGACGAGGTGTGGTTACACTAGGTACCTGTAGGCCGAAGACTGTGTTTTGACATATTTACCCTCTCCATCGACTACGGTAAAAAATTGTTTACTGTAGAATGGTACGCTAGGGGTTTACTATATAAGTGTAAACTGACCTCGTGTATACCCGTAAATAGGTTTAAAGTGGTAGTTTACTTTTATAGTAGGGGTTTAAATTAAGTATAAAAAGTAGTTTTATTTCTATTATACGCTATAATACCTAACTAAGACTAAAAGGGGTAGAAAAGATTAGCTTCACGCTATACGCACATATAACATAATAATGAGTCATGATATTTTTACTAATAGGAGGTGGTGATAATAGAGGTGGTGGAGGTGGTGATAATAGAGGTGGTGGTGATAGAGGTGGTGGTAGAGGTAGTAGAGGTGGTGGAGGTAGTAGAGGTGGTGGAGGTGGTGATAATAGAGGTGGTGGAGGTGGTGGTGGTGATAGAGGTGGTGGAGGTGGTGGTGGTAGAGGTGGTGGTAGAGGTGGTAGTAGAGGTGGTGAAGAAGATTAAAGAAAGGAGGGGTAAAATACTTAAATTGTAGGAAACTAGGTATTACTACGTAATACTAGTAGATTAATAGAAGTAGAAATAAAAGTAGTTTACTTTTGTAGAATACATAGTATAATAAACCCTATTTAGGTTTACTTCTTCTACCTAAACCACTTCTTAGTGTACTTTAGATAAATATGGCTACTGTAAACCGGTTTTGTACCGTAGTGATCGTATGTTTTCAGTCACATATACCATACATTCTTCTCTCGACAGCCGTCCTGGTACTTCGAGTACTTCTGTGTTTTAGACTCTGCCTACAATTACCCCGAGTTTCCTCCTCATATTTTATCGACAGTACTTTTGCATTTCATGCGCATCCATTTATGCTGTGGCGCTCTTGAATACCCCAATGGCATTGTGTAACTTCTCAACCGCTATACAGGGAAGCCGCGAAGCGGCACTTTGTATTTGTCCCAAGACTTCTGCGCCCGATAATTGCCAGCTATCAGCCTACTCCTGTGTCGTATCTGCGATCTTATAAATGGGCTTCCAGAAAGCAAATTATACCATTAAAACACTCCAGAGAAGCATCGATGTCAGTAGACGTACGACGCGATGTGATGCCTCAATGGCTTTCTTTTGTTTTTGCTATTCCAATTCAGCAGCTTGATCGGCTTCTTTTTCGCGACTGAAGTAAGGCAGCAGTCGGAAGGCGACTCCAAACGTGTGATTGACCTTTTCGTGATAGTCATCGATACATGGGAGAATGTGGAATGTGCTCACCGCGGCATGGTAAAGTTGGCCATGTCAACTTTTGGATATGTTTCAGGGTCTCTACTTCTTCACACTTACGAGTCTCAAAAAGAGCAATACTGCCATTGGCATTACCAATTTGGATACTGTGCGTCGTAGCCGGCATGTAAACGAAGTCTCTATCAATGTCTTTGCTCTTGCAGACGAGTAGATATCATAACACAACTCATTTAATGAGTTTGCAGTAATCGTACCATTACTGACCGCTATTTCATTCTCACATACTTCCAGTAAGTTGATATGCTCAATTTGAGTGAGAATTAGTAGCTCAGCAGCTGCACGTAAGCGTTGCACGTGCTCTCTATACCTTCCAGTGCTCCCTTCTTGGCCCCACTGTCCCCCAAAGTCATGATCCATTAACCTGTCGTATTTAGAATATTGAAAAGCTCGTACTACCCCTTGTCTGGCGAAAAATAAAATAAAACGACTATTTGAAAATGTTGCCCTGAACAGTTCCTGCATAGCTTCTAACGGCAAACAGGACTTTTTAATCAGTGAGCGTCAGGCTTCAACGACTATAGCTCCGATGCCAACGACTGTCACGTGAAACAGCGATGCAGACTTGAACCACGCTGTGAATTCACATATAGAATCACCACATAGCCATGCATGGAAGAAGATATACTAGCATTCTTGTGAAGTCGTGATAGGCTGGCGTTTCTATCAATCTGGATAAGCGATCAAGATCCGGAAATTATATTTCGGAATGCAACATGATACGCGCTCACACGTGATATTTGAATATATGCAGAGGCAAGATGCAAGATAACTGAAGGTTATATACCCTTGTTCGTCTGTTTCCAGAAGTCCGCCCACAAGACAGATCGAGAAGGAAGTGAGGGCCGGAACTGGTCAGTGGTTACAAGGTACTCTTTTGCCATTGATTTGAATCTACCCTTTGTCATTCATACTTTCTTGGTCAGGAGATAGTAGCAGCAACCGAGAAGTAGCAAAATATCACCGATAGCTGCGAATAACAGTTGCTGCATAGTATGATCTTGTACCGTCGGTCCCCCTCGAAAACAGCTAGGTATTAGCAGAGTTAAATTCAAAACTTTAATTGAATGTACGCTGCCCATTTCACAAATCATTCCGTGTTCACATTGCAGTGTCGAGCATAAAACAACATGGTTAAAGTGTCTTCTTTTTTGGCGTATCCCTTGACATAATTGATGATGTCCGTAACGAGACCCACTTCTGGAGTGCCATCGTCTGGAACAGCCAAAACAGCGAGGGTGAATCTATTATTGTTCTCAAAACGCTCCCTCATGCGTTAAATCTCGTTATGTTGAAACGTTTCGTTTTCCTCTCCGTATATCCATAGCATGTTGAATTTGGCTACAAAGCTTTTTAGTGCATAAGTACGACCGGACGATAATTAAAGTGACGTCGCGTGGATTATCCATGATTTTATCGAGTCCTGAGTAATAGAAACAAAGATACTATTGAGGTAGGTGGAGTTCATGGAGGACGTGAATTCGCAATAAGTGACACGGTGTTGGGACCACCGACTAGCAACCTTATATAAGGCACTGGTCACAATATTTGCAACTTTGGCTATCGACAGCGCTACTCAAGCAGGTTGGAAACCTGACTGGGTATGGTAGGACGAAAGCCTGATACATGGCCATCCTTTTTTGCCTTATTGTTCCATGGAGCTGCTTCCCGGACCAACATGGCATTTCCTGACCCCTCAGCTACGCTTTTCGAGCCCCCTAAATTCTTCTCTACTATGAACAGATATAACCTCCCGGGACAGACGCCAAAAGAAGCCTGAAATATTGCAATCGGACCTTAGTGCTTTTATTAGTCCATCTACTTACATGAAAGCAAATCATAACCGCATAATAGTTGCCGAACACATCATCCTCCAACTTCCCTAGTCCATTTCGTGGGTGTATAGCGCAGTGTAGGTAATCAAAGGATGCAAGGAGATAGAGCAGGCTTCCGGAATGGATATTATAGGATCATGAAGTGCGAGACAACGAGGACTATTCTTAATTGGTGTCGGTGGCTAGCCTTGTGGTATCAGGCCGTTCCGTATAGCATGTGATATTTACGCGCGAGGAGCAGATTCAGAAGGAATTTGCTAAACCATTGTCCTCTGGGTGGATGTCACGACGGTCGGCAAGTAAGGTAAAATCTCGTCAGCACCGCCCGAAAGACCAACGAGGCTGAGAGCCTCATTATATACATAAAATACCGCCTGATCCAATACATACTCCAAAGGGAGAGCCTTTTGTGTGATTTCCGAGAAAAATCTGTGCAATACCACCAGCAGCCAAGTACATCTTCTGGATATAGTCTTGCGAATCAAAATCTCTGATTCGGTACAGATACTCACGCGTCAACTACACAGAAACAGTGCTTTGTGCACTAACTAGTACATAGTGAAGCATCCGGTATGGAAAGAATATTGACGTTAGCTGGCTTCGCCATGCAGTCGAATAAATTCGGCGAGAGCACGCATGATTGTAGGCTTATATTGACGGCAATGGTGATTCTTAACGTTGCACCACTTTGCAAGATTGCACATCTGTGTACCACCCCAGAAACAAAACGGATCAGCCGAGCTCAAGGCTTGACGGAGAATAGTGTTCGACAAGATGATCCCCACGAAGTAGAACCGATGTTGCAAACCTGCAGTAAGCGTCCCCAAGTTCTACACGCAGACTGGATCTACGAAGACGGATGAAGATAATTTCGTACGACTGTATACCGATAAATCGAAAGAGTGAAGTCTGAGTGAACGAACATAGATACCTATTGTGTAAAATTGAGCGGATGACAGAAGCCCTCTCGTTCCTTACGAATCGATCTCGTTGAGCGACAAGGTCGATCTATGTACCCCAAGCGAGCACCCCGATCAGGGTGACTAAAGTCACTGGCTAGACCGCTGCAAATCTGCTCTGCAGAGGAGAGTATCATGGAGTCGTCTCGTTTCTCGATAAATGAAATTGCGACTAAGATTGGAAACGCAGTTGGTATGCATGGCAGTAAGTTCCCAGCCTATTGCTCAATGATTCCGAGCAGCATCTAACAACTGATCAAAAGAGGAATCCACGTCTAGTGTTGTTTGTGTAATGGCTTCAATGCTATGCGTTACCTCTTTTTCAAGGCGGCATTTTCATCAGCATTGTGCCGGTTGCCGCATACGCGCAACTAAAAGATCGTCTTTGCAACAGCGGCGTGTTGTGCGGTCATGGCTGTGTTCGTAGGTAGCATTCCAGAACAAGCATGACGGATTGGAAACCTTTCCGTGGTAAATATATTTCCATATATCTTTTAAGCACTCGTTTGATTTCCTCAATACAATCTATGAATACTGCTTCAGCAGCTCGTCCGTCTTGCTTCAAGCTGGTCTAATCTCTGCCCAGACCTTTTTTTATTGTCTTGATCTTGTAATCCGCTAGAGTGGTGTTTCACCATGACTAGAAAGCAATTTGGTACATTGTGGAAGTATGAAAGTTTTGCGTTTATGTGGGCCTCCAGGATGGTCACGATGCCTTCGGGATCGCAAAAGTACTCTTTAACATGCTTCACATGCAATGGGGTTGTTCAACCCGAATCATAAATACACCTAACACCTCTGTAATTCTCTTCACAGGTAACATGTGGAGGGAAGGCATCGTATGCTTTCTCATTACAGCATGATAGAGATTGATCTTCCTTTACCCAATTCGTATTTCAAAGACGAAGCTCGCACAAATGTAAATCAGAATACCAGCAATGTCAATATGCGTATGGCAAATCACGGAAACCTCCACGGTAGATGATGCTGTAGCGTCTGTTGGCCCAATGTTTACCTCTTCTTCTTCAATGAGCAGATTAGCGACTTCAACGGATCTGAATGAGGCAGGAAATAGCAAAGGAGTATTTTGCTCTCGATGCCAATTTTAGGTTGCGCAAGCGGTACCTACACGAGCCATCTCAATGGCGTCAGAGAGAACACAGCTTTGCAGAGCATCACGGCCAGAAGCATCCAGCTCATGTATGTCATCCAATTGAGGAATAAGCAGCACGAATTAGAGGAGGTGAAGCGGCGCTTGGCACAATGATAAGCAAGTACCTGGACTTGCAACGTCGCATCTTTGATGTGCTCTGGACGCATCGGTCCTCGTATCCGCCTGCATTATATTACTATCTTCCATATAGTAAGATATAGTCTTCTGTATCATGCTGTTCAGTGGCGCGCAGTAAAGGCGTCTCCACTGACGAATCGTGACTATGGAAGCCCCAGCTGTGATTAGTCTGGGGAGTGACCCGTTCGAGTAATTGAACTGTGCAGGGCAGATTGCACAAAGTGGGGTTATTACCGGTATCTGTCCAAACATGTGAAAAGACGAGTACTCCCTGTCAAGGTCACCTCCGTACGTAGCAGTGCCTGCTTTGAGCAGCAATTGCACGATATTGGCGAAATGATAAATCGTCGTGATATCCAGATACTTGGAACTAGGATATCGGTATCGAACAGAAAACCATCATTGGTAGGTATGACTCCGGCCTCCCATCGGTTGTTCATGGCTCCGCCACATCGAATGAATTCAGAGACCAGATCCTGGAAGCTACAGCGAATAGCAAAAGGAAGTGGGATTCCAAGTGGCCCATGCAGTATCCCGAAAGGCTGATCCTTCCTACATATCGCGAATCAAGCGCAACACGATAGAGTCCATGTGTTCCATCCACAACACCCGTTAAGTCAAAGACAAGAAAAGCCAATCAAAGTTTAGCTTCCTTGTACAGGAATACCACAAGCCAATGCACAGGATCTGGGGGTATACCCAGATGGGAATTCGCCAGACAGTGTAATTAGCTTCTGAGCTTTGTTCAAGTTGCCTTCTAAGTTCTACGCAAGCTTTTGTTAGCGAACATCTTATGTTTCGTTCACTTGGGGTTCGTTGCATGAGAGCCTTTTCCAGTGCACAGAAAGTTCACACATTCTTCATCTTGTACAGTTCCCACTGTTTCCCAGACTTGCCATAAGATTCTAGACGGGAAAATTAAATCTTCGACAAACGAAGTGATGTGCTTCGCGGCCACCGTGACTCTTGGAGAATCGATTTGCGCAACGTCATCGGTATGGATAGGTTCTGCTAGCTTGTGTAGCGACTTGATGATCTTTGGTTGTGTACAGTGGTCCAGCTAGTACGCTATTGCAAGAAGAACATGCACTTCATGCCTTGAGAACCGCCTCTTCTTCAATAGCGATAGCAGTTGCAAGTCGTTCTATAGAACTGCGTTAGACCGCCAACGGAGACGAGGTGATAATCGAGGTCTACTATGGTTAACAAGATGCCCTGGAAGATTTCGCACTAAACCCACCTTGAACTTGTGAAAGTTGATAGTTAATGCTCTGATGGTGAATAGTAAATACAAGATCGTTAACGCTATTGGTGTTGAACGTAGTTTGTGCTTGCAATGCACTATGCCATCTCATCGTCGGTCAGTTATACGTACGGTCAAGTTAGCCATTGAGGAAGATTGAGACATGCTTTTTGTGGAATGATGTATTGAGGCCTCGAGAAGTTGATAGATAAATTATGCCATCTGGTGTACTAGTAGACCATGGCTAATACTTACTTGTACCTTGGGTAAGGGACCTTGTGACCTTTGTTATACTTTCATACTGCTATGCACTTTCTCCAAAACGCAGGCTTTATTGCTGTGTTACCGAATCTATGAAAATTAGGGTTTGCATGGGGAGACGATCGGAATGCAAATCCTGTTGTAAGCTTTAGCATCGAGTCTTCTTCCCGCAACACTATACTGCTTACAAACCTTAACTTTTCGCTGATAGAGACTGATCTATCTTTGTTCATCGATACATTGACGTCATGACCAAGCCAAGCCGTATCAAAGAAGCTCTGACTGCCGAGGATGCCTTCGGGCAGCAGAAGACCGAATAAGTAGACGTTAGCACGTTGAGAGATGCCACGAGAACTCTACATGCTTCCTTTGCCTGGAATATGCCTCGAAGCAGTCTCTGGGATGTGATACTTGGTTGTGCCGAGGTATTGAACGATGCGTCTCGGTGTGAAGTCACCTCTGAAGAAAGCGCTCCCAAAATTAGCCAGCTTAGCTAGCTGTGGTCGTTCTATGAGATCATATGTACAATCAAAGACCAGTACGTTCTCCATCTTTACGTTGCTATGGATGATCTGGCAACCACCAATGAACGAAGAGTCGTATCAACACCTGGTGCCAATACGCACCGCTCATTTAAGTTTTACTTGCATCTTTTGACATAATGTATAGCGTAGATTGAATAGAATGTAACTGTGGGTCCTCTGTGTTTCTGGACGGAAAAAAATCAGTTATCCTTTCGTCTCTGCTTTAATCTCAAGAAAGATGATGTTGCATATCTTCCAGCTCTGCGTTGCTGATAGCATTCGGTTTGTCTGCCGCCAATTCATCCGTGAGCACTGAACTGAATACATGATGCGAATTAAGATGATACTAGATCGTGAATCTGAGACTGGAGTGCAGCTCTAACAGCCCTTTATCTACCATCAAACACCAGTAAAATTACCGGCCTGGACCTGTATATCAGAAATAAAAGGATAAATCATCTCGCAAGGCATCAGCAGGTACCCCTTGCCAGCTCATCGCGGTTTCGTTGCCCTGTCGTGATGGACTACTCAAATCACGCCTATGGACCCTGACACATAGCGCTTCACCAGAAAGCACTCCGCAGGAGCCGCTGGTCTTCCTGTGAGAAACAACGTGACCGAATAGTGATCTTGAGATGATCGGTGATGTCGAGGCCATACCTTTCCAAGCTACCCTAAGCGGTCTGATGGATAGCTGAAGGGTAAAGTTCGGTGACCTCAACGTGGGCATAGCCAGCGGGAGGATGAGCAGTCAGCTCCTACGACAGTCGGGCCCTCAGCGCTAATCGCGGGTTTTGAGATATCAAGCCAAACCCATGCATCGCGGTGCCTGCACCCATCAGTATTCTTTTCCTTTTGTTTTTATATTATTATTTTTCAATCCAGAAGAGCGCGGCAAAAGGAAAATTAGACGGACGGAGGATCAAGGATGAAAGGAGAACAAGGAACGACCTGGACGGGATGGTTTGTATGGATCGTTGAGGAAGCGTGGATGGAAGCGCGAGGTTTTGCTTGTTTCGCGGTTTAAAGCGTAAAAGTGCGGCTGTTGCTTTTTGGAATGGGCTGATGAGGTAGTGCGTGAGGCTGAAATGTAGTATAAAGTCGGTTTTTAGTGTCTGTTGGGAGGGGTGAGCAAGAGTGTAGTTTGATCGGCGGCGCCAAGAGAATTTTTTCTGATGAATGATTATTGGAAAATCGATGAAGGGGAAGAGTGGGAATGATGGGTTCTCGTATTCATGGACCATGTGTGAACGGTGAACGTGGATGACATTTTGCTCTATACAAAGCTCCGATATTCAACTGATTCAACATTCGAGTTGGAATGCAGCGAATGAGCGGAAAGCAAGAACAGCTTGGCTAGCTCTCTACGAGCTAACAAGCCCCTCAGAGTACCAAATATTCGACTTCTAAACTCGCGACGCGACAAGGGACGTACAGGCGAACCATTCCAGTAGTGCCGTAGAAGGATGGGAAAACTCCAAAAACTCCGTTACACCGTGGACCATGGACCATGGGGTAATATCGATTAGCAGAAAAGTGCCGTGGTATAAGTAGCAGGGAGCCGACGACGATTGAAAATAAAGATGAGACCGACCCAAAAGGCATTGTCGAGGCGGAAGGGTAGTGTATATTGAATGATAACACAGACTCGTGCTGAATCGAAGGAAGAATCGAAGTGAAAGGGTGAACGCCGAAGCCCAAATCCCGTACGGGTATGCAACGCTCGTAAAACGCTATGATGTTGGATAGGAGTTGTCTCTCAATAAGTGAGACAGTAGATGATCATGATGGCGTGATAATGTTCGTTTGTCAGGCGTGTAGCCTCAATGATGCGATAAGGATCCGGTGGAATGCCGACACGATTTGCTCCCCCTTCCAGAGCATATCTTGAGCGCGGTGCCATGGCTGGTGGGAGCGCTGGTTGTTACTTGATGATGCGCCCCTTGCCTTTGTTCTTGGACTTCGCCGCGCCAGCAGAGGTGAGCTTGCTCGTATTCATGAGCTCACCAATGTATCTTTTGCGCATTAGTAGAGCAAGGCGTGAAGCAGGGAAAGACGAAACGTACGATTGTAGAAACTTGTTACCACCCTCAAGCTTCTCATGCTCATTTTTGACTACCTCTACGCGGTCGACAATCTCCATGAGGCTAGCTTGCAGCTGCTTAGCTTGTCTAGCGACTGGTCAGTTGGACTGTACCGGACAGATCTGTCAAGAGAGAAGAGCGGTATGAGAGAAAAAGGTCCTAGCATGGTCGCACTCTCAAAGAGTCGGTTGCGGGTGCGGGTGCTGGCGTCGTGTGCAGTGTCATGTATGTGCTTGCTGTCTCGTCTGTTGCCAGACGGAAAGTGCAAGAGAAAGTTGACTCACTCTATCAGCGCTTGCCTCGCATCGTGACCCATCTTCTCAATCTCTTCGCTGCTTCGTCGTGGGCTCATGGTTCGAGCATCACCGTCATCGTATTCCTCTTCCTCCTCCTTCATCTCGATGTTGGGACTGTCGCGCGGTATTATGATGGTACCGCTTGATTTCCTGCTCCCCAGGCGCGGGCGTGGTTGCAATGTGGGGTCGTTCTTAGCCTGGTCCTGTTCGCTGACTGAGGACATTGATGAGGTTGTGGACATGTCGTCTGTGTAGGACTGTCGACGGTCGGCGTGGTCAGTAATCACAACTTGAGGCTGTTCTGACATGGCGAGCGATCACGAGAATGGTGCGAGGGAGAGGTTGCAGATTAGTGTGCGGAAGCGAGTCTGCCGTTGGGTGGGTAGGCTAAGTGCAGCGATGAATGATGTGGAAGACACCAAAGCGGGCCACTAAGCAGGGATGTATTCCCTAGGGTCCGAGGCCCCTGCGTTTAGTTGGCTGGGGCCGCCGAAGAGGGAAGAATGCGCCAGGCAGGAATGCGACGAGAGCGGAGCAGCCAGGATCCTCGTGGCGGCTGCAGCAATTGCTTAATCCCAAAGTGACGAAATCGCCGTGGGTGCGTGAGAACAAGAGCCGGCTATTGAACGGATTGAGGATGATGGAGGACGATGCAGGCAGGAGGGAGAAGGGCGGAGAAGAGGAGGTCCTGTGTGCACTGGCTACTGTGAGGCTGTTACTGGGCTACACTCTGGAACAAGTACAGCACATACATACAGTATCTGCTGGATCTGGAGGTACCCTACCTACCTAGGTATGGATGTACTGCAACGTCGACACTTTGGTCGATGTGATTTCCACCACGTGATGGCACTGACGGGTACACGAGTCCACCTGGGGAGCGAAAAGGGGAAAGGATGGTTTATGTGGGAGGGCGGTGGCGGCAATGGGAAGAAAGGAAGAAAAAAATGACTGCCTGCTAGACACTCTAGTAATCCGTGTGCACACTACTACTGTGCTACTATGGTATCGTGCTTCGCTGAGGGCGGCCGTGGGCGGCTTTTTCCAGGATGCCTGTGTTGGGCAACAGTGAAAGATTGCTCCACAGATCGCCACATCTGAGACTTCAAAGAGAAGCATGACGTCGAGTCTTGGCGCCATGTCATGCCGACTTCCGAACCACGCCCGTCCACACCTTCACGCCCACCTGGCCGCCCACACGCCCAGTTTGGTGGTCGTCGATATACTTAGCAGCGCCCACGACCGGTACACCTTTGATGATTGTCGGAAAAAGAGAGAGAGAGAGAGAGAGAGAGAGAGAGAGAGAAAGCGTGTGTGTGTTGGCATGGCCGTATGGACGAGATGGATTCACCCACCTGCTCCGCTCTGCCTCAAGTCGCAGCACACCACGCTGTCTTCGCCGCATGCAGTCTTCGGTCTATTCTACTGCGATGATGATTGCGAAAGTGTCCACGCGCCCATCTGTGCCGTCATCACGTCAGTTCCGAACGCTGATCAATCCTCGCCCATGCTCTGTTTCGTCAAACCATGAGCCCCCAAAAATGCAGGATCGCCACACACAACTGGACCCTGCGGCGTTGGCGTGTTGGCCTGGGCACCGTCAGATTACCGCTGGCACTCCCTCGAGCAACGGTCAAGCCCTTAGCCCACGGCTCCTCGCTCGCCCACCAAGCCCCATGCCCAGCGGCTTCCAGCGGCCTCGTGTCTCGCACTGTAGATTGTTTTTCTTACAGCGCCGCCGAAACCTTTCCATCGTGTCCCTCTGCACGTTCAACCATCTTGCTACGCTCGTTCCACAGGCTGCTGCCCAATGCTAGAGTAAAGTTTTTTCCTCTGTATGATCATCCTGTAACCCAAAGCGCCGATTGACCGTTCAGCGTCCCGCCATAGATTGGACCTTTGACTCAGGTTGCTCATTTGGCGGGTAGCGAGCACTGTCGCACTGATTCGAGAGGTTTTCTTCCCCGGCCGTACTGTCTCCGGGACGTACAGACCAGTAATTTGTCGCAAGTTACCCAATGTGTATTGTCTCCCGTTTGATGACCATGACGATCGTCAAGGATTTGAACTTTGCCAGGGCCGAGCGTTGGCAGCTGTTCGTTCTTGAGTGGCTTCTGAGCCAATCTGCACTATTGGTTGGTTTCAGACCAACAAAAGCTCACTGGTCGGAGCGAACCGCATCCGCCAAGTCGTCCCATCAGAATTGACGGGGAAGCGTGAGAGACACCGGTCACCGCCAGTCTGTCTGGCGACGATCCGACGGTATGGTAACCGCATTGTTCAGCCGAAGAGGTTCTTTTGTGAGACTAATTTTCCTTCAGACGTTAAGATCAATCTTCTTCTGCACCGCTAGGGCTTGCAGTAGCCACGAACTCTGGCTCAGGTGGATAACCGCATCAAAATGGTAATAGAATAGCTAATCCGAACCTTCGATTGAGATCACCAAGCACCGTCTCTTGACCTGTCGGTTGCATTCCGCCTTTGCATTGCAGCAAAACACCCACGAATCATTCTCCTCGACTCGAGCACATCATTCTAGTCGGTATAGTACGGGCACACACGTAATTCATTACATATCCTGACCTCGGGTGGAGACCAATAATCCGCGCAATCGCACCTGCTTTATTGAACTGTACAGTACATACATGGCCATCTCCCTTGCACTGCTTAAACACCTCGAGATGCCCACTCTGTCTACTATGGAGAGTATAAATGTTGATCTTATGTTTCGGGCCTACTGTTAGCCCTGGAGGTCATGCTGTCTGGAGAGCCACGTGATGACGGAGCTAACTGCATTCTGCAAAGCAATCCCTTTGACAGACCAACAAGATTGATGGCGCGTGTCGTCAGTTTAACACGGACCATGATCTCTGGATGATGAAGGTATGGCTCTGAATATCATCTGTTATACTTTAGCCATTTGCATTGTGTTAATCAGACAACTCCCACCAATCTAAAGCCACCGAATATTCACCACGTCCAACTTCGGCAAATAGCGTTGCGCGTCCAATACAATTGAAAGACATGTCTGGGCGGGGCACTCTGCCAGAAGGACCGAAGGAGGGCGGAAAACAGATGGTACCTGAATCATTTCGTTGCCCGGTCTTACCCAACTCGTCGTTCTTCTGGACTTCGGCCCGATATCTCCATCACGTTGCGTATGAATCTTGCCTCATGTGGTTCTGAGATTTTAATCTGTCGTACCGCACCCTATTGTATCTGATGCATGCCACAGTGTCATGCGTAGTATACACGCTGGATGCAAATATGAATGCTGGTCCTGTACCAAAGGTGGGGTTCCGGGGTTATTCTCCGCTGGTATGGAGACTTAAGGGTAAGGGGGGTTTACATATATGCGGGATCACCACCCAAATCCTTGATGGAGGCGCGGTAAAACACTTTGCAAATAAACCCGGCGATCTTGATGGAAAGTAATACTGTCGGGGACCGAGAGCCATGCTAACTGCTATGGTACTCTATGGTACAGACAACCGCACTGCGTCCGATCGTCTGCAAGACATACCTTCGGCTGCTGCGACAGAGTCTGTTCTTGGGTGCCGTCAGCGCTACTCAATTTTTTCAACGAAGATTTTCAACGAGTCCGTCCAAAAAGCAGTGGCAATATGAGCAAAGACTTCCTCATTGTGCAGAGGCTGTACGACCTCTGGAAACTTGATCCAGAGGCACAAAGCATTACCTAGCTGTGCTGCATCTAGCCAAGTCTTGGCATGTTCGTCTCTGGTACACGAATTCGGGCTCTGACCAGCCGCTCGTCAAACGTAGGTAATTCCATTGCTCATACGTTGCTGTGCCCCCCGCGGTAGATGACACCGGCTGGAAGAAGTGCGGAGGGTGAAACGAGGCTGATGTGGCTGGGCAATGGTTATGATGTCATCGTCAGCGTTTATTCGCTTCCATGAGAGGCCCAAGCTCAAGCAGTGAGACTCAACAGAGCTTCAACGCGACATCATGTCGTGCGGGTACAATACTCATCCAAAGCGTGATGCCTCAATAGATTGTGCTTGCTATCCATCTTCTTCACCCATCTGACAAGTGATTGAGCCCCTAAGCGAGCAGCTACCCCACCATGCACGGCATCCTGGAACTGTCACTGCAGCTGCTGAACTCATTCATTCCTGGAAATCATGGTGTGTAAGCTCAGGCGAGTCCACTTGGACTCACTAAAGCCCCATACTGGAAACTTACCAAGCTGCCGAAGGACCACTCGGCGCCCAAATCCCAATACAGGGTGAACAAAATTTGGTAAAGCGTGAGTCTCACTTCAATACAGCCTATCAAGACTCTGGTCGTACTCCAGTGCCATGGTTTCGATTGACATGCTATGCAGCCACGGCCACGACCAAGTCCTCTAATCTGCCAGACTACTTTGTTACCGACGATGGACATTTCCAAGGCCCAACACAGACGGGCAGTGCACCCTTTCTAGCGCAAACCAATCTAGCGCCGTTCGCTGGAGTATCATACATACCTAATACGCCGCTGGAGACTCAAATACCTATTGCTGGTAATCCAGACAACAAGAACATCTTTCAAAGTCTCGCAAATCTCAGTCCTTATTTTCCCAATCCCAGAGGCTTCGGCGTTGATGAATATGCTATCCCCCCTGGGTCCAATGTATCATGGCTGAACATGGTGCACCGCCATGGCAGTCGCTACCCAGAAGTCAGCGGTGATGCTGCCGAGCGAACTCTTGGTTTGAAGCTCAGCAATGCGACTGGGAAGTTCACTGGTCATGGGCCCCTCGATTTCCTCAATGACTGGAAATTTTTATTGGGTGCTGAGATCTTGGTGCCAAATGGCAAACAAGAGCTCTTCACTTCGGGAACACTGCATTACTATCAGTATGGCCATTTGTACCCAAACAATGGCAGCAAGATTGTTGTGAGAAGTACTACGCAGCGGCGCATGACAGAGTCTGCAGAGTATTTCCTTGCTGGCTTCTTTGGTCTAGGCTGGGCGCAGAACGCAACTCTTGAGCTAGGTATTGAATGGCCGGGCTTCAACAACACATTGGCTGGATACAAGCACTGCGATCACAATAGCTGGGGTATGGCCAGGGATGGTACGACAACTTTCTTCATCCTTTGAGCGCATGACTGATGATAATTAGCCCTCATGAAATGGGTAGGTGTATACTTGCGCGATGCCCATAAGCGCTTCACCGATAATATCTCTGGTGATCTAGATTGGACTCTCAGTGACACTTGTGAGTTTTCCAAGAAAAGAGAATGTCGAGCTGTGGTGCTAATGAGACCTAGATAACGCTCAAGCCCTATGCTCCTACGAGACCGTTGCTCTGGGCTTCTCACACTGGTGTGGACTCTTTACATATGAAGAGTGGGAAGGTTACGAGTATGCTCTAGATATCGCATTTCAGGCCGGGACAGGCTTCGCGTCTCCCGTTGGTCGCGCCATTGGCATTGGTACATAACATCCTATAATCTCGATACCAAAGTCACTAACAACCCTCAGGCTACGTGCAAGAGGTGCTTGCTCGTATGCAACACCATGTCATCACTGAGCCAGCCGCGCAAATCAATGTCACGCTCGATAACAACACGATCACTTTCCCAGTAGATCAAAACCTCAACCTCGATTTCAGCCATGATGCGGGCATCCTCGGCATCTTGACTGCATTTGGATTGACTCAGTTCAACGATGTACTCCCCTTGACACATATCAAGAGGGACCGTGAGTTCATCCTCTCACACCTGCAGCCTTTCGCCGGCCGTCTCGACATCGAGATCATCAAGACGCCCGCTCCCGTCAATCCTGACCGAACGTCGAAGAATATTTACCTAGATGGTAAGCCGACGAATTACGTGCACTTCATTCTCAATCAGCGCACGATTCCACTTGGCAGGAGCTTGGAACAATGTGGAGATAGGGACGATGGATGGTGTGAAATGGACACTTTCATCAAGGTGCAACAGGAACAGATTGAGTTGGCTGACTATGACTTTGCATGCTTCGGGGACTATGAGAACCCCAAGTATGGGGATATTACTGATGGGAGGCCGATACGGTAGCGTGGAGGTCTCCAGGGTACGATATGGTAGATGTATATGGCTGATAGGTGAGCTAGTCACATACAATAATAATCACGGTAGATATGCTGAGCTAAGAGATTGGTAAGGAGGACTTATAAGAACTCCGCATGATATAGTGAGAACACGTCAGCAAAAGCACACTAGGAACCCCTAGGGTGCATAATCACAATTATGCCAAGTATATCAACATTGATTATAGTAAAAATTTGTAAAAATTTCATTGCCCACAAAAACTAAACTAAAATGCCCTACACAAACAAACCTACAAAAGCAAACCTATACACAAAAAAAGATTCAAAAAACCCTAAAAACAAATACCCCTAATACCTATACCGGACCTTCCTCACATCCACCCAAGTCGATTTAAACCCCTTCACCCACTCCTCCTCCTCCTCACTCTTGCAACTCTTCATTCGCTCATTCCACTCCTCCATACTGACACAAACGCCACGCTTGCCGGCCTGATATGGCGCCACATAGCACCACTCCCAGCGCGTCTCCTGGAACATCTCCTCCCTGCAGTACACGCAGCTGCTGTGCTCCTCTGTCCAGCGGAGCAGACAGGAGGCGTGGGCGGTGTGCCCGCAGATCTTGGTTTTGATGGCGGGGTCTGCTGGCGCGGGGGGGTTGTTAGTTGGATGGTGGAGGAAGGGTGGTGGAGGTGGGAGCGTACCAGAGGCGACTTGCGCTTGCTCTTGAGCATGGCCCTTGTTGGGGACCAGTGGCTCGAGGCAGATTGGGCAGTCATCCCCTTTGGCGATGTTGGCCGGGTGGACGACGCTGGTGGCGGCCACGAGGGCCTTGACGCGGGATGCCTTGTCTGGGACGCGGGTCATGGTGTTTGAAGACATATTGGTAGTTGGGGTGGTATTGGTAATGGTAGTAGTGGTAGTAGTATGTGTTGAAAGAGTATTGGGTACTTGTATAATACTGTGATGGTATGTATGCAATATAGTAAGAACAAGGGAGAGCAGGTAAGGTCTCCCTTTTATCAGGTCTGAGAGCAACTAATTCGAATATTATGCTAGTGCAGAAATACTATGCAGATGAATATATTGTAGTTTTACCAGTCGTGCATGAATGAGACCAAGGTTAGACATTCGTGAGCACTGACCTCAACAACACTCTAGGCTACACTTTTGATATCAGCCAACGAATTCGCGCCGCCAGAGTCCTGCAGCCTGCATGTTTGACCAAAAAAAAAGACCTGACGTGCCTAGATATTGTTCGTGTCCCAGAGAAATGGTCGAGTCCGGAACACCAGACACCCTCACTAGCTTCACGATCGTGGCTCATAGCCACACTTTTTTCATCCTGAACCGTGATTCAGCATCATATTTTGACTTGCACAATGCAACGTACCATAATTGCTAATTCTATTACTGAAATATACCATTCTTGTTGACCTATTGCCGCAACGTACCATTCTTACGACCCGACTAGCCTGCGTGATGAGGTGGTAGATATTGTCAAGGCCACGATACCTACTTGGTGTTCAGCACATCGACCCAGCCTTCAGGTCTTAGCCTCCCTCCCGCATATCCTTCCTGTAGGAACTTTTCGCCATCGAACCCAAATTCGATGAGAGCATCTTCGCTGCCCCATTCCCCGTGGCCGCTCATGCCAATGGGGACCTTACCAGCACCCTTGACACCATCTACGTACCCCACGGGGAACTGGATGCAAGGTATTCCCGTGAAGTTTGCCAGCCATGCATATTCCATGTTGCGAAGCTGCTGGTTGCCATTCGACACACCATAACTGAGCTCGCCATCTTCGATGGGCCAGCCTGCATTTGGTGTGGTTGGTGTGACGATGACGAGGCCAGGATGGGTGCGGTAAAGGTGCGCTAGATGTTCCATAAGAATATTGCGTACCCGCTGAGCGAGGAGGAAGTCTGTAGCGGGTGTCTGCTTAGCGACGCTCATGAGAACCCTGTTGGGGCTAGTGAGATCGTATATAGAACTCCGATGGCCGCTTGCACCCTCGGCCAGGATAGTCATGGCATGAGCTATTTGCCCTTGGGGTAGAAGGGGAATGGTGATATCGACAGTCTCGTAGCCTAGTTCAGACTTGAAGTACTGTAACGCTGACTGGCAAGCCTCTTGGACAGCCGGATCTGCACGATCAAGCCATGCTTTGTAAATTCCAATGACTTTGGGTCTTGGTCCAGAGATCTTCTTTGGTGGGCTGAAATCCGATGAAGGGTAGTGTGTTGGGTCAGGTTGGGCCATGACGCGATATGAAATTTCGAGATCTGACATGTTACTCGCCAACGGGCCTCGAACTGTGACCGACTTGCCTGCATCAGGCATTGGTGCGACCGATACACGAGCATGGGAGGTTTTGAGACCATAAAGACCACAGTAGCAACTCGGGATACGAACAGAGCCACCGCCGTCTGAACCGATGGCGAAAGGAATGATTCCATACCCGACGGCTGAGGCAGCACCACCTGATGACCCTCCGGTGTAGTATGAATTGTTGTATGGATTAAGTGGAGTGCCCCAATTGGGATTGTTGTTGGTAGTGTCTGCCATTGTTAGTTCTGATGTTCCAATTGGATAATCTATGGCTCTATAGAGCTTGCAGGTGTCTTGACATACCCATCCCAAGCTCATGCATAGTCAGCTTCCCCACGAGTATAGCTCCTGCTTCCTCGACCTTTTTCGCACACCAACTTGTCTCCTTATCTCCGCCATCAGTGTAGTCGTGCGTCGTGCCAATATATCTTTTGTAACCCTTGATTGCCAGATCATCCTTGACACCAAAAGGTACACCATCAAGTATGCCTAGTGGTTGACCCTGCTTCCACCTCTGCGTCGACTCCGCAGCAGCCTGTCTTATAAGCTCTGCCTTGCTCTCCATAAACGCAGTCGCAAGCGTCCTCTTCTTGTGATCCCCATTTCTGAGGATGAGAGGTAGAAGAGCTTCGACTACATCGGTGGGTGTGGTCGCACCGCTCGCGTATGCGTCATGAAAGTCCTGGATGGTATAGAAGCGTGTATCCGAGGCATTGGGCAGTGTACGGAAACTTGTAACATCTGTATAGCTCCCAGGAGCTTCATCGTTGTCATACGGGAGCAGAATCACAGTGGGATCGTATCGTGGATCGATGCCATCGAGCTTGCGGCATTTTCGCAATGAGCTGAAGCCGGCGTTGCTCCAGAGCGCATGTGGAACTAGGGGAATTGCAGCGACCCTACTTGAGTGAGCCCAGTGACTACGAGGTACATGATAAGTGCATACGCATATGAAAGAATGTCCAATATCTTTCCCTTGAAAATAGGATTCTGTCCCTCTGGTGGTGCTTCGAAAGGCGTCTCATGAACTCTTGGCGTGGGGTAGTTCAGGAACCGCGGTGTCATGGTGGGCTTATTCTGTCGCGCAACGGGTGGAATCCTTCGTCTGGTTGCTTGCAAGTGCACAAGAACAGCGACCCCAATGAGGTAACTATTTACTTGTCATGCGATATGGCTTCGATTCCAGTCAATTCCAATCTCCAACATTCAGCTCTGACATGTGCTGACGCTAGTCGTTGCCTCGGGACGGCATGCTCACGGAGCGGGCCCTGTGTACACAGTAGGTAGTCAGTACATGGGCCGGACGTTCCGTAATATGCCCACCCCTTTTGGGCTCGCTGTATCATTCACTTTGTCCATCGGCTGTGAGCGGCCCTTTTATGTTAAGGTGAGAGGTAGGATTGCCATTGCCGCGAAACCTCCGCAGGCTTCCAACATGTGCTTTTCAAAGGCACAGGCTTCGATCAATTGAAAAGAGGTGTGGATTATCAACTTCTGATGGCTCAACATAAGTAATACGCTTTTGAATAATACACGATTTTGTCGCTACGAATGTGAAATGCCTTCGCCCGGAACACAATTTAGTTCCCTCTACAGTATTCCACATCAACACGCAACGTTGCACCAAAAAAAGGTAGACGAGGTGTGCGTGTTGTCCCCTCCGTCAATGGTTCGAAGATATGATCGTTTACCAACAGGCCCCGGCTTGTGCGTCTCTGAAGCTGAGACCGGCAGTGATGCTATGTGATCCGACACGTCAGCATCGCTTACTGTGCAGAAAGTGGCAATGTGGAGTCCGCTTGAGCATGTCTGCCAATCTACTGACCCTTGCGGGGAACAGCGGCTGAGCCAGACACCTCGTCACCCATACGGTTGTACTCCTTCTGCAAGTTATCGACCTGCTTCTTCAGGATCTCCATGTCACGGTCCTTGGCTGCGAGCTCGTTCTTGAGTTTGCCAACCTCGCCAGCGCCGCCGACATCCTTGAGTGAAGTACCCTTCTTTGCGTTGGTGTCGCCCTTGTAAGCCTTGAGCTCTTCCTCCAGACGGAGAGTGTCAAGGATCATGACATAGGTGCGGTTCAGGATAAGGGAGAGGAAGAGCGTGAATCCACAAAGGTACATGTTGCGCTGCGAGTAGAATTTGCGGGCCTGGACCTCCATGCGTTCGATGCCACCAAGGGCTGCGTTACTGCACGATGTGTTAGCGCGCGCATGTAGCGCAAGCAGGTTGTTGACATACCTTCCGCGGGCGCCTGGCTCATCCGAGCCAGAAAGCTCTATTTGAACGCGGTAGACACGGTTGACACTGTCAACAAACAGGATCAGGATGAAGATGAATGTAATCTAGCCCATTTTAGATGACGTTCAATCTATCGAACAGGGGCCGTATCCTACCTTCATGCCATATTGTAGCTTGGCTATTATTGGGCTCTCCGAGATGAAGGTGAAGAGCTTGCGGCGCCATGTGAACGGCAGTGGGACAATAAGGGCGCAGAAGATGAGCATCTCCGTCACCAGAAGCAAGAAGACCTGAACAGACAAGAAGAGTAAGTAAAGGGGCCACATGTTCGATACCAGCCGTAGTGGTGGTGAAAGGCACACGAGCAGCCAACGCAGGCGAATGCCATGATCATTGCCCGCATCGTGCCTTCCATCCGTCCACCCGTCATGGCCAGGTTGTTTCTCTTACCAGACTGTAGTAGAGCGTCATTTTGGCGACGTGCTGATAATTTCAGGGCAGGGAGGCCGATGTGTATGTGCTGTTTTGAGGGGCGGGGCTGAGCGGTAACAGCAAGGCCTTTTCAAGTCGCAGGAGTGGTCGAGAAAGGCCAAGTCGGCAGACTGGAGGCCAAAGAGGTGAGGTGAAGGATACAGACAGGTGGTGGAAAGGTGAGATGGGAAAGCAGGCACAGGTTAGGCGATGTCAAGTAGGAGCCGCAACTGCCTAGCTTGTGAACAAAATACGTCACAGCACTCCCAGCTTTGGGAGAGGCGCACGGGCCGAGTGTCAGTCTAACCCTCTTGGGCCCTCCACTAACATTCTCAAATTGTCCAACAAACCTTTCTTGGTCGAGCTGCGAAGCCACGACCACTTCGCATATCTAGAAGCCTGTTTCGGCGGACTATTCGCCAATGACGACAGAGGCTATGGAGGGAGTAGTGAAGGACGAGCCGGTTCCCAATGGTGCGCCAGTAGAGTCCCATGGCACTGCTTACAGTGGCAATGGTGGTGAAGTAGATGCAAATGCTGAGAAGAAGCGAGCGAGGAGTAGCACGCCAGTGCATGATGAGACTTCAGTGAAGCGTGTAAAGGGTGTTGCCCCGATTAAGGCTGAGTTGGTTGCATCAAGTCGAATGCGATGCTGCACGTGCTAAGAACACCAGATTTCTGATTCATCGAGGTGATAACAGAATTGCGACAAAAGAGAAAGTCGTGGATGACGATGCAGCTGAAGCCGCAGACGATCGCTACAGGAAAGATGCCCGTGATGGTGGGGGTAACGGCAAGGGCAAGAAAGACAAGAAGCAAAGGGGCCAAAACACCAGTCGAAACTTTGGAAGCTCACGCGACAAGACTCCGCTCTGCAGTTCTCGTGCTCTCTTCAATGAGTTCTCCGCAAAGGAATGTCCGTTTGGCCAAAAGTGCAAATTCGAACACGATCTTCGGAGGTACTTGAGGGAAGGCCGACGGGAAGATCTCACGACCATGAATGGCCAATGTCCAGTATTCGAAGTCAAAGGGTTCTGCCATATGGGGTGGAAGTGCCGATTCGTCGGCAGTCACTCGGAAGAGCGGACTACCGAGGACGGAAGAAAAGAGCTTGTGTTGAAAGAAGACGCTGAACGCAAAGCTCAAGTTGCGGATGTTGAAGAGGAAGTTGGCGTTGTCAACATCGTATCCAAGGATGTCAAATTTGGTCTGTCAAGACGGAAGATTAGCACACCACGCTCTGACCAATACATTGAATGGATCGAGAAGAACAAAGGCCTGGAGCGTGAGGTTTTCGACAGCACAATGGGCGACTCTAAGGCTCTCAAGGAGGAGCTAGAAGCTCGCCGAGCAGAATACGTTGAAGCACCATTCCGACCCTCAGAAAAACGGCGCATCTATTATGGACCAGAAACACCGGTTCTCGCCCCCCTCACAACCCAAGGAAACATGCCCTACCGCCGCCTCTGTGTCGATCTAGGATGTCAAGTGACCTGGAGCGAAATGGCAATGGGCATGCCACTCATACAAGGCGAACGTGGCGAATGGGCCTTGATGAAAGCTCACGAATCCGAAATCACGCCTCCTGCATTCCAGTCCAAGAACAAAGTTGTCCAAGGCTATGACAACAGCACCGACATGAAGTTTGGTGCCCAAATCGCTGCGAACAAACCCTGGCTTGCCACGAAGACAGTAGAAGTTCTAACTGACCACTGTCCAAAACTCCGCGCTATCGATCTCAACTGTGGATGTCCCATCAACCTGGTGTGCGAAAAAGGTGCCGGTTCTGCACTCCTAGACCAAGAAGCCAAACTCGAACAGATACTACGTGGCATGAACTACGTATCCAAAGAGGTCCCTATCACTGTCAAGATCCGCATGGGCACCAAAGACAACCAGCCCACGGCCCAAAAGCTCATCAAGCGCCTCGTCCTCGGCGGCCGCGAATCTATTGAGACTGGCAAAGGCACCTGCGGCATCGCAGCCATCACGCTCCACGGCCGGAGCAAACAGCAACGCTACTCCCGCAGCGCAGACTGGTCCTACATCGCTGAATGTGCGTCGCTCATTACCCGGCTCAAGAAAGAACGCGACGCCCAAATCGACACCCTTGCCGAACCCGATGCCCGCGACCAACCCAACGGTGGAACCGTCTACTTCGTCGGCAACGGCGACTGCTATTCCCACACAGACTACTACAACGCCCTCGACTCGGCCCACGTCGACTCCGTCATGATCGGCCGCGGCGCCCTCATCAAACCCTGGATCTTTGAGGAAATCACCACAAACCAGTACCTCGACAAGTCGGCCACTGAGCGCCTCGCCTACATTGAAAAGTTTGCAAAATACGGCATGCAGACTTGGGGCTCTGATGAACAGGGCATCGGCACCACGCGCCGCTTCATGCTCGAGTGGCTCAGCTTTGCCCATCGCTACGTGCCCGTGGGTATTCTGGAGTATTTGCCACCCCATATTCAAGATCGGCCGCCGATTTTCAAGGGCCGGAATGAGCTCGAGACGCTGCTGGCGAGTGAGCATTACAAGGATTGGATCAAATTGAGGTATGTGGCGGCTCGCTTGTTGTTCATGGCTGAAGCAGCTCAATTTGTATGATATGGTTGCTAACTCTTCATTCCGCAGTGAAATGTTTCTGGGTCCTGCGCATCCAAACTTCAAGTTTGAGCCAAAGCACAAGTCGAATGCCTATGAGATTGAGGCCGAGGGATAGATGGATGAGTGCAGCAGTGCTGGCTGAGACTTCCAATGTGCCTACTGAGTGAGCTTGAGAGGTCTCGAGCGTCGTAAAAACTGTATTTTCCTAGGTGCATATTGGAGGATGGGATTCGGTATTGTGACTGGGAAACGTAGCGAGTAGAACGATTTCAAAGCTTTTCATCATCTTTGATATCTTGACAGTGTCCATAGCACTCAAAACTGCCTCAAGACGTTGTAAATCGTCTCACAAAATCAACTCCTAATGCAACACACAAAGCATACTATACAAACCCGCAATCCAGCCCCTCATTTATCATCAAAGAGCTCTGGATAGCGATACCCCTGCAAAAGTCCCCAATCCCCTCCAACCCCTCATTACGCACCCTCCCATCTACGAAACGCCACCAAACCTCTCCGTCCTACCACCCCTGAAGCTCCTATAAAAGTCTTCTGTAGGATCCGAGCCCAGTCCATTCCAGCCGTTTGCGCCCACACGCTGCGACTCCTTTTGCGCCTTGTTGATCTTATCTTGGAGCTGCGAGGCGCCCGAGTCGATGAGTTGGAGCTGTGCGAGCTGGGTGTTGAGGACGCGGACGACTTTTGTCAACTGTTTGCATGAGTCAGTAAATAATCTAAAAATGTAGCGGAGTGCTATGAAGAGGTAGAATGGTTGGTAGTGATGAACATACCGGATCATCGGGCTTGCCAGTCTTGCTTAGTGTCTGGGATGTAGTGTTGATTTCCTCAATCATCTCGGTGAGATCCTTGTTCAGCTCGTTGAGCCTGTCTTGGAGTTTCTCGGCGAGTTTGTAGCTGGAAGTGCTGTTAGTACTTCTTTGCAAGGATACTGTTTCCGCGAGACTTACGTTCGTTCACGCTCTTGATCAGGACCACGTAGACCCTCGTTCTTCCCGCTGACTCCGTGCATCTTCATCAGATTGTCAATCTCCTTCTCATATCGGTCAAGATAAGAGTCCAATTCTTGCTGGTTTTCCTCCATCATCGTCAGTTGCCTTTCCACTTCTGCAGCGTCGCGTTCAGCCTGGAAAGTCTTGGAATACAGCTGGCGAACTTTGTCGGAGTTCTCGACCAGAGCGCGATCCCAAGATGCGACTGTCTCGGCCTGTTGCTGAAACTCCTTTTGGTACTTGGAAAGATCAGCTGCCCATCGTGTAATGATCTCGTCCATGGACTTGTTCTTCAGCCGTGACTGAGCAGATGGTGCTGGACCGGCGGTCGAGCTAGCCATGTTGGCCGCATTCGCCCCTGATGTTGCTGTGGTGGCTCCAAGGCCAGATGCAGGTTGAGAGGTTGATGTGGAATTTGCAGGCTGCGTTCCGGTTGTTGCTGGTTTGGCGCCGAAAAGACTTGGGGTTGCGCCTGAGGTTGCGCCTGAGCTAGACGCTGGGGGTGCAGAGCTTCCGCCGCCCAGACCCGGAAAAGCTGTAGAGCCAGCTGTTGTGGTCGTAGGCCCGCTGGTAGCAGTAGTAGTCGCGCTGCTGGTCGCCGTTGTATCGGCAGCCGTAGACGCAGGGGGCTTACCCCAATTGAAGTTGCTGCTTCCTCCCGCTGACGCCGGCGTGTTGGAGCCAGCACCCGCGAAAAGACCACCGCTAGCGGGCGCGGATGATGCTGGAGCTGTCGTGTTTCCACCTAATGATGGCGTAGAGCCTGTCGAGGCAGGTGTCGAGCCAAGATTGAACCCAAGGGGCTTGGCTGGTGTCGCCGAGGGCGTTGTGCTTCCCAGATTACCAAAGAGACCAGACTTGGGAGCGGCTTGCCCTTCCTGTGTACCCGCAGTCGCATTCTGAGCACCTCCGCCGAAGAGACCACTTGATGGCGCCGAAGACGTGGGTGTCGCAGGCTTATTCGCATCGGAGGAGGCGCCTGTGTTGCCGAAGAGTCCAGATCCGGGAGTAGAGGCTCCTGCAGGTTTCGCGGCCGAGCTACCGAACAAGCTAGGTGCAGCTGATGAGGATGTGGTCGCTGGTTTCTGAGCCTGTCCGAATAATGCACCTGATTGTGTGCTTCCCGATTGGTTGTTCTGTTGACCAAACAAAGACGAACCAGATTGAGCAGCTCCGCCCGCCTGATTGTTGTTACCCCCGAAAAGACTTGGGCCAGGAGGGGGTCCAGCTGGAGTGGTTGAGGGAAGGAACGAAGTCTTGTTTGGCGCAGGTGTTGCTGTTGGTGTTGAGCCTAGCAATTTACGTGAGTATTTGCAGATTCGCAGATTCGCACACGTTGCTCCCAATGAAGGCTTCAAATAGACATACCAGAAGTTGCTCCAAAGCTGAAAGAGGGCGCCGAGGAGGTGGCTGCACCGCTCGTAGCGGATGATGTGCCTCCAAACAGACCTCCAGCAGGCTTTGACGCGTCCTCGCTGGGCTTTCCCAGGCTCCCAAATCCAGCAAAGCTGGGAGTCGTAGACGCGCCCGATATAGCCCCACCACCGAAGAGACCACCGGCTGGCTTGCTTGCGGGGGTGCTTGATGCGCCTCCTCCAAAGACACTCGAAGAGCTGGCGGCTGTATTTGCAGTACCAAACAGGCTTGGGGTTGCTGAGCCTGATGAGCCGGTCGCAGCGCCAAACAACGGCTTGTTTGGGGTACTGCTACTGTTGTTGTTGTTGTTGTTGTTGTTGCTATTGCTGTTGGCGCCGAAACTGAAGTTCATGATGGCGGTGGTATTGTTTACGGTCTCGAAGAGGTGAATTGGCGTGGCAGGTCCACGTTCTGTCTCAGGACGCGCAATGAATGCTGGATAGGGCGTCGCAACACCACAGGCACGCACTGTAGCAATCGCGCAAGTACTCTAAATAGCAGGTGTAGGACAGGCGAATTGCTCGGAGCTTGGCTTGGCTTCGGCGTGTGAGTTACAGCTGCCAAAGTTGAGGTAAGGGTAGGAGTACTTGGGGCCCATGCAACCTGAGCAAGCTGCAAATGCTAGCGTCGGCCAAACGGGCGCCCAAACTCCGGGTTGATTGCTGGTTGCATGTGGGCAAATGGGATTCCAGACCATCTCGGACGCTTCTTCCCTTCCCCGCTAGGCCATCACCGCACCGCTTGAAACCCCACGACGACAACTGACACCCATTGGAGGCGCAGCAGACTGCCACATTACATTACATTGTCTGCTTTTGTTCTTCTCTTCTCTTACACCCCCCCCTTTTTTTTTTCTCCAAACCAAAATAGGCCAGATCTCTCATAACTTCAGACCTGCAGTCTCTTCTTCCGCCCTCATATCCAGCCAGACCACACCAACCAAAACCCCCCCCCAACACTTCCTTGCAAGCGTTGGCCCAACATGCCTGATGAACTGGCCCCCCCGCGTAAGAGTGTCGAACTCGAGGATCCTGGTGCGAGGGAGCTTGGTGAGTCTGCGTGTGATAGCAATGCCATGCTTCCCATCTAATCAACACATGCAGCCGATTCAAGTGACGAGCACTTCTCCGACGCCTCCGAAGGACGAGCAGCCCTCCGCAATGAAGCCACTTCTCCTATTCCAATCACGCGTGTCGAGCGGGTCGATGATGAGCCCGCCCATGGCGAAGTCCCTGGCACAGAGGCCTACAAGATGCGGACCCAGGATGCTGTACCCGACGAGGTCGAGATCGTACCGGAGGGCTCGCGAAGTCGTAGTGCTTCGAGAGTGAGCGCAAGTGACCGGCCTCTGACACCGGGAGGCACTCCTGTTCCAAAGACCGTCGTTGAACGAGTGGATGACGTGCCAGCCCACGGCGAAGTTCCCGGTACACTTGCGCACCAGCAACGCCTCGCCGACGCCGAGCCCGATGTGATTGTCAAGATCCCCCAGCCGCCCAAGAACAAGACTGCAGGTACGTAGGGCATTTCCTTGGTGCCTCCTGCGTACCATTGACGGAAAAAGGATCGCCAACTCCCTCGCTTGATAGGTCTCCCTTGAACTCCACCACTGACGGCGCATCCGAATCCTCCTCCCATCCTCTCGAGGAGACTGACACGGTACCTGAGCCAGACGACGAGGAAGCGGATGGAGATATGCCAGACGAAGACGACGATGGCTTTGGAGACTTTGACGAGTTCGAAGAGGGCGGGAACGACGATGACTTTGGGGACTTTGACGATGGGTTTCAGCAAGGCGAGTACGAGGCAGAGACTACATTTGATAATCCCCCAACACATCAACCCCCGGTACCTGCCCCTTCACCAGGTCCTGTAAGTAATGAGAATCTTAGCCTCAGCATACCACGCTTCTCTCCTTTTGATCTGCTCTTGCTACCGTGACCATCTACAAACCAAAACATGTAACTGACCAACTCCCTTTTCTTGCAACAGCCTGTCCTTGACTTCGCCGCCCTCACCTCCCCCGACTCCATCACAACAGCCGCTCAACCCTACATCGACTCCATTTACCCCTCGCACGACATCCCCGGCATATCCACCACCGACCTCGAACCCCCGCGCTCCATGTTCCTCAGCGAACGCAGCCACTCCCTCTGGACCCAACTCGTTGCCCCACCCCCACTCCAACCCCCAGACTGGGTCCGCTCCCGCATCCGCCGCCTCTTCCTCGTCTCCCTCGGTGTCCCCATCGACCTGGACGAAATCCTGCCAGCCTCGAAGCAAAAAAAACTCATCCTCCCCTCCATCCACATCCCCGGCGACCGCTCCCCACGCCCCTCGTCCGACGGCCGCCTCACGCGTCTCAAGAAGGAAGGCGACAACACCTCGTCCACCTCAGTCGACTCGTCCAAATCTGAATCCCGAAGGAGAAAAGGTCCGCCCCCGCCCCCCGAACTCGATCTCAGCAGCACGAGCATGCTGTGTGCGACGAGCGAGGCTGCGCTGCGCAACTTCACCCTCGACGAGCTGCAGGCGCATGTCAAGAGGTTGGGCGAGCTCGAGCGCCGCGCGCAAGAGGTGTTTGCTTATTGGCAGGCGAGGCTGGAGAGTGCATTGGGGGATAAGGATGCGTTTGAGCAGGTGATTGAGAGTTTAGTGGCTCATGCTAAGAAGTTGAGATGAGTGGGGGGGTTGTTTTACGGGGTTTTCTTCATTTTGGTAGGGGTATGAATATGGATATGGGATGGGTATACGTATGAGTATGGGCCGGGGGAGATGGCATGGTGGAAATACCTAGGACAAGGTCATTCAGATACTTTATACCGGGTTTTTTCGTTTGGTCGAGGGCAATGGGTTGGACTCGTTTTGTCTGGTCTTATCTTTTTCCTGGTTCCAAAGGGTAAATGGGAATGGCCATATGCGACTCTAGAGAGGATACGACAGATCGTTGCATGGTTTTATCAAAATCTAGGTACAGGTAGGCTCATCAGGACTCTTGTCATGAGAGCGGATTTTCATGCTATCATTATATCATTATATCATTATATCATTATATCATTATATCATTATAATCATCACAATCTCGTACGGGGCTTGTTTGAACCTCGACACACTACAGAGATAAGCACATGGGCATGTCGAAATCAAAATCACAATCGAATTTTTAGAAGCAATGCATGGCGAAGAAAACATGAGAAAAGCGGGGACTGCGCGTGCGCTCTGAAATCCAGTCTTTTGCATCACTGTGACTCTTGTTCAATCTGGAAACGAAATCAAGTGCTCACCAAAGGAAAAAACCCCCCCCGATATATGCTTCTTTCTCCAATTTTCATTCCGTCTTGACAATATAGATAGCTCGACTCGTCGAAAATATTTCGCCGTGTTCGGAGTTCCAGAGTAGGTAAACAGTAGTAGTAGGAGGTCATCATCATCGATCGTCTCTTTTTTTCATCACGACGTGGTTTTCTTTTCTTCTTTTAGATGTGGCTAGATAGAACGAGGCACCCAGAGGTCAGCTAAGAGCTGTCTTGTCTGTTTCACCAAAACCCCCTACTTTTCTGTTTTTCCCCCTTTTGACAAACTACTACATGTACATGCGGTACTAGATTGTGGCAGAGGAGAGAAGTCGCAGCGCACTGGGATGTGTGGTGCTTACTTTTGCTCGCCTTGGGAGCGGCCCTCGTTGATGACATCGTCGCTGGAGGGGGGGGGGGGGTTGTTAGTGGGGGTTCTGTGGAAGGGGTGTTTGGGGTGTGTTTGTGAGAGGGGAGGGGGATGTGGTGCCGGATATGGTAGTAAGGAATTACGAGGTGGGGCAGCGGAGGAACAAACTTACATGTGCTTGTCGAGATCCTCAATGTGCTGTTTTTGCTGCTTGAGCTTCTCCTTGATTGCCCTGAGCCTGTGGAAAATAAGTTAGCCATGTTCCTTGTATGTTTTCTTCAAGCAATTTGCCTCGCATTGTAGGTACGCTTTCATGGGCGGCGCATTCGATGGGGAAGACGGGTTCGCGATGGACGTACTTGGCCTTCTCTTCCTGACGGATGTAGAGCTCCTCAGCAGCGGCCTCACGCTTGGTGAAAGCATCACTATTTCTCGAATTAGCACCTGTCCACTTTAGATTTTCATCAGTTGCGATTTACCCTCCAGCGCTTCCGGTAGGCCTCGAGGTACCCGAGCCGGTGGCACCCTCGGCCATGCGCAAGGCAGAGGCCGAGAAGTAGCGGGGAGCGGCGAAGGAGCGCGCGCTCTTGATGATTTGTGTGCGAAGCATGATGTTGATTTGATTTGGGGTGGTGAGCAATTGGGAGACGGAGAGGTGGTGTTTTATGGCAATTGCGGGCGGCAAGGTGGAGTGATGGCTTGGATCACGGTCGAGAGAAGCTTGGACCGGCTGGGTAGAGCGTCATCGTTGGTGGATCATGTGACGATCTGTTTACTGTCGTGTTGCTGGTTGTGACAGGCTGCCGAACTGGAATAAGGGGGTTATGATTTATGATGTGTTTGTTTGTTTCCCTCTGGATTGAAGGTCCTTGTATGCAGCGTTAGAGAGATGTTGCTGATGTAGCTCTCGTGCAAGTCGCCTGCTGGTTCAAGGTGTCAACTGGTCCGTCAGTGTACCGGTACCGTAGGTAGGTAGGTAGGTAGGTACCTTCGAGTCATTCGACGACCGAACAGATGGAACAGATGGTTCAGAGAGGACACCGTGCGGTACACGCTATGCTATTGTACTGTCTGTATGTAGGTACTCTACCCGAAGATCCTGGATGTGAACATGTTTGCACAAGGCGAGGAATAATAATGAGAGCATTATACTGGAGCACTGCAACAGGTACCTACATACTGTCCCTATCACCTGGACCATGCATCGACAATCCATCCGTACCTAGAATACAGAAGGCCTTGGCAGCTCTTTGACGATCTCCACCCGTCTCCTACCGGTATGTGATGAGGAGAGTGATGGTGGTGGTCATGATGGCTGGTTCCATTGCCGGTACACACTCTTTGCCACTTGATCCTGCTCATATGCAGTGAGGACTGAAAAGGCGGTCATGATCCATGTACAGCAGGTACCTAGCTCATGCACTCTATCCAGTGAGTATGTACTCCATGTACTCCATGTACTCTATCCAGTGAGTATGTACTCCATGTACTCTATCCAGTGAGTATGTACTCCATGTACTCCATCTAGTGAGTATGTACTCCATGTACTCCATGTACTCCATCTACCTATGTACCCATGTACCCATATGTACCTACCGACCGTCCACCGCTGCCGCACCGGTACCGTATTGCGGGGCAGCACCTGTCAGGGCCACCGCCTGCTACCGGTAGCTAATCTGGTCGTGGCGGCCCCAGCAAAAAGTCTCAGCATCCATGAGGGGCGACGGGGCGCTGGCACGGTGGGAAAGGGAGAAGGATCATGTTGGCTTGCTCTTGTCCATGGGCGGTGACGGCCGGTCCACTGCCTGCCAGTTCGCAATCAGCGTTCTGGGCTTGTGTGAAACGATCCAAGGACAGGCAGGCGTGATCTGCGCCAAGACCAGTCGGGTCCTTCGAAGCAGAGTTGGAAGTCCCCTCCTCCTTGGTAACGCTCAGCCACACAAGCCCGTCCTCCGACACAAGTTGATTTCTGACTCCAAGTCTCTTGTCAACCATCCACCAACCCCCCAACTCCTTTCATCGTCCACCTCTTCTCTGCACTCCTGCTCCCTCACACATCCCACCCATTTCGCTCTCGTAAGTAGCCTTGCCTCCCAATCCCCTCTCCCCCACCCTATCTCGTCACTCTTGCCCCCTCCCTCACCTCTCCTCC